GGAGAGCCGCCTCGTTCTCCTCCAGTGCTGTACGTAGACAACAAGGCCATGCTGGCCTTGTGTCGAGAGCAGAGACTGGAGCACAGAACGAAGCACATTGCTCTCCGCTACTTCCTTGCTCGTGAGCTACAGCAGCGTGGTCAGCTGCGGCTTGCGTACGTGGCCTCTCAGGCCAACACTGCTGATATCTTCACCAAGGCACTTGCGCCTTGTGATCATCAGCGCTTCTATACTCAGCTGGGTCTTGTGCCTACCTTGCCTCACTTGCTCACCCCTTGACCTTGTTTGTACTGTTGCATATATATATACACATGCTCTTGCTTGTCTAGCCTTATATATATATATGTAATCCTGCATGTGAACTGGCCTTGTGGCCTTGAACTTGTGCTCGGAATGTGTGGTGACTTTGTGATCCACCCTGAGCTTGCTTTGCTTTGCTTGACTGGTCTTGTGACCCCTTGTTCTCCCCCATTTTGCCTATGGGGGTGTGTCAGATTTATATGACATAGCTACTGTAGGCTATAGCGGGGTAGCACATATGGGGTACAGTTTTCTAGGGTTCACATTTGTACCCAACTTTCCCTTAGTCAATCTCATTCCTCGTTTCTTCTCAAGATGAAGTCGTATCCGTCCAGCGTCGCAGGGTCGAAATCACGCCTAACTGTGATCGGTCCTAGCACTACGCGCAACTTGCGAATGATCGGTCCTATGTGGGGAGGCGTCCCATCTACCATGCGAGCATCCTTGAAGTTGACTGCGGAATCTGCTTCGAGATGGAGGCGGCTGACTAACGATGAAGACACGAACGAGTGGCTAGCTCCGCTATCTACGAGAATCTTAACAGGAACTCCGCGAAGCTTCCCTAGAAGCACGACTGGTCGGTCAACAGTGTCTACCTCGTTCTCCGTAGATGACTGCTGCAAAGCCGTCTCCTCTACGTTGGTAGACGTGGCGGGTACGGGAACCTCCACACCAGCTAGCGACCCGCTATCTACTGGCGGTTTCCGTTTCCCTGCTGCTGCTCCTTAAGCTGTGGGCAGTCCCGCTTCATGTGTCCCGGCTTTTTGCAGTAGTGACAGTTCCCCCTAAATCCCATTTTCTGTGAGCCGTCACTGTTAAATGCACCAATCTCCATGGGCGATGGTCCGTCCCTCGATCGAGCGTCGTTGATCGGTCTGTTGTATCCCCTATCGCGATCGTCACGACCCCGTCGGCTTCGTACTGCGTCGACGCGTTCTGCTGCTGCGACAACTGACTCGAAGGTGGACAGCCCATGAATCGCTATAACTTCTGCTATGTCCGGCTTCAACCCCTCGAGGCAGCGATCGCGCATCTCTGCTTCCGTGATGTCATCTATTTCGTTGCAGATGCTCAAGAACCGTCGTGTGTACTCCTGGACGTTTCCTATCTGTCGGAAATGACGCAGGCGCTTCCTAGCAGCTTCGGAGGCGTTCACCAAATCGAACCTACTTTTCAGCGCCGCTTCAAATCCTTCCCATGTGGTCGGAACCGTGGTAACACCCAAAGCTAAACTACCTAAGCTCGAAGTTGCAGCTGCATGCCCCACGCCCTGTTGATGCCCGTCCGTCTGAGCCCTTCTTACAGCAGTTTGCGTGAGTTGGCGCCACCACTCTAAGGCCGGGCCCCTCAGCAGCGTAACGGAGTACTCGATCCGCTGCTGCGCGTCCGCCTCTTGCACCCGCTCGCGGCGAAGTAGTTGTTGAGCATGAAGAGCCACGTCCGCACGTTCGCGTCGCGTTGACTTGGGTCGAACGACTCGGGTTTCTGCGGCTTGAGCGCGCTTCGACGTTCCGGCAGCGCTTCCGCGCCAGTCGACGTGTTGGGCGCAAGAGTTGGTGCGGCATGACCATGGGGGTTAGAAGCCAATTCACGAAGCTGTTGCATTTCAGCTCGTACCTGACGATTTTCCAACGTCAACTCTTGAAGTTGGCGCATGAGTTCGGCAAGCGTGTTGCCCATGTCGTGGGGGAGAGCGTGCATGGTTTCGCCCATGTTCGCTCGACGACTCCAAGTCTGCAAGTCGGCACCGCGGGGCGATGACGTCGTAGTCTCGTCGTCGACGGTCGCTCGTTGGAAGTCGCTCCCCGCGAAGGCTCTGATACCAAGTGTTAGGCCCGACGGCCTAAATCCGCTAAAGAATTAGCGGGGTCGACTAAGTCGAGGATGAAACGCGGCGGAAGACTTTGGCGAAAGAACTATTGGCGAAATAGGCGAAGAAGTTACCGTATGGCCCCGGATATAAGCGCAGGCCTATGTTAAGCGCATGCGCTTGTATCTGGAGCAATGCGCTTATGGCCGATCCTCAATTATAAGCGCACCCCTTGGAAAATCGTGACTTATTATAAGCGCACCCATTTAGTTAAAAAAAAAAAATAACATTTTTTTTTAACCTACCTAGCCTACATGTTCTAATCTTTACATTAACTTAGACAATCACATACAAGGTTGGTCTTTGCTGTCCTGCACTACACACCTTTCAACCTGCCTAGTCTACCCTACTGCCTATTCTTCCTCCTCGTCCGACTCGGGCTCGGTGGAGTTGTTGCCCCAGAACCCATCTGCCTGGATGTCGTCGTCCACCTCCACCTCATGGGACAACTGGCCTCTCCGGTGCGCCAGCACCAGTTTGTCTTCGCTCCCATCAAGGGCGTTGCTGATGCCGCACGTGAGGAAGGCTCTCTTGATCAGGTCGGCGGGCACCGCCTTCCACGCCCGGGAAATCCACTTGAGCACCACCTCCGGAGGTGGTTTCTTGATGTTCCCTGCATCACACGGAGTGGGGCGGGGAAAACATGAGACAACTAAACAGGCATACAAGCTCAAGATTTGCAGACGGGAGCACATGTCGTCACTCACCTGCCGGGGTCAGGATGTTCATGCCGTCCGCCTCAAACCAAGTCTGGTACTGCTGACGAATGCTTGCTTTGCAAGTCGCATCCGTGCTCCGTGTGCAGCCTTGAGCGCCTCCGCTTGGGCTTTCCATTCTGTCAGACATTTTCGGTGTATGCCTGACTCCCGCGCCACTTCGCTCACCGAAGCCGCAAGCTCGAGCCGCACGAGCCACCTCAACTTCTCCTGGGCGGTGTAGGACTGCCGCTTATGTTGACTCTGCTTGTGCCTGTGGGAGGGGGGGCGGGCATCTCGATTCTCGGTAGACGGGTGGGGGCGTTTTTTGTTAAGGGGCGGATACGTCGGTATCGGCATCTTCGCGCGTGGTGCGTCGCGCCACCAGGACTCCACACCGTCCTCGTCCTCGGCAGTTGTGTCACGGTCGGGGAACACGTCTTCCTCGTCGCCCGCTGCACCGGCGCCACCAGCTTCACCGTCGCCTCCAGCTTCGCCGGCGCCGCTGTCATGTTTATCGGCGGCCACATCATCGTCGGCGCCCACAGCCGACTCATCCCACGCGCAGGATTCAGGTTGTCCCCACCGTGGTGCAGGCGCCGGAGCTTGGATGCGTGTATCGGGGGCCTTGGTTGTGTCCGCTTCAGCTAACCATTCGTCGAACGTGGCCGGTAAATACAGTTGGAGCACGGGCCGTTGGTGAGCACCTGCCGTAACAGACTCAGGCGGATTCGGAGGAGCGGGAGGTGCGGGAGGAGCGGGTGGAGCAGGAGGCGCAGGAGGAGCAGGAGGAGCAGGAGGTGCAGGGGGATCTGGTGGCACTGGAGGCGCTGGTGGCTCACGGGTATACCACCCGTCCTCGGTAAGTCGCCATGTGCGGCGGGGCTTTTTCTTGAGGATGTGAGTCCCACTAAATTCCGCCATGGCTTCGCCTGCCAGGCGGGGTTGACAAGAAACTGAATGAAAAAATCAGAGAAGAGGGTGAAGAAATGGGCAACGACGGTGACCCCTGCTGCGTGGCGGCTCGGGTTCCTCGTCGATGACAGGCAGGAAACCCCCGCCTACTCCCGTAGAGGCGCCTGCGTGGCAGCATCTACGCTGCGCTGGCAGGGAATTTTGCCGAACCTTCGAGATGGTTCTGCCCGAATGCACATGCCACGCAGCGCATGCGGCTCTGATTGGGCCGCACGGCAACATCCTCGTCACGGCTGTCACTGTCGATGTTTCCAGACAACATTGTGCGGTGGGAAACCGAACCGCTGCGGTTTCTGCCTGAAAACCATGCACGATCCCACTTGGTGCATGGTTGGTTGAATTCGCCTTATTGAGAGCTTCACAATGGTGTGTTTAAAATTGACTTTCATTTTATCCTTTATACAAGCGCATGCGCTTATAAATCAGACTCAATTATAAGCGCACCCCCCAAAAAAACCGGGTTTTATTATAAGCGCATGTGCGCTTATATCCGGGGTATTACGGTACTGAGTAATTGAAGAAGAGTTGAATGAGAATTGATTGATATTGGTGGATATAAGCAAGGATGATATAGCATGCAAGATCGAATGTCGAAAAGTACTCTGTGGGACTAGGAAATGTGAGGCAAAGAAAGTAGAGTGCCACGTGGCACTAGGAAATCTAGAAAGATAAGATGAGGATGAGTTGGATGGGTTGGGAAAGTACTGTTCAAAAGGAACAGTAAATCCCCCTTTAACAGTTAATCTCTGGTTATACACAACTGCCTTTACCTTTACCGTACTAGTCGACGGTGAGGGCCAGTCTTGAAGCCAGCGGGGAAGAGTGTGCCTCGAGGCCCTCGCCGAAAGCCATACCCGCTAAGGCTCGACGACGAGCTACGCTGGAGCTGCAGCAGCACCTATTGGCTACACCTATTATCAATCATCGGCTGAATATTGAGCTTATCCAATCTATTGGTTACGAAATCCACAATACACAGGGTTGATACCTTTAATAACTAAGACTCCCTCCACTTTCCGACTAACGCCATTTGATAGCGTATACTTCCTGCAACTCAGCACAATGCTTCTAGTTGTTTCAACCACCCATCATTCAACCATGTAAGGCCTTCTAATTAAGATCCAACTATTAACATTCATCCTGCTACAAGCACCCTTTTCTCAGCAGCAGGGCACTGCGGATGTGACTGTAACGGGGCCACAGGTGGCGGCTCCCGGCTTCCCAGCGCGGCACACGCGGAGAGTGACAGGACCCCTTACCACCCGCCCTCGGAAGTTGACCAATTGGAAGCGGTACGAGCGCTGACACCCGCGCACTGGCCGCCCAAGGTCCAGGCGGATAAATCGAGAATTGCCGGCCCTGGGAAAAGTGGGGGGAGATGTGGGGGGAGGAGAAACAAGGTTGGGTTGAGGCGGGTTAGGAGGAGCAAGTGAGAGATTCATTAGTAGAGGGTTAAAAAGGAGATGCCGGGGGAGGCCAACGAGTTGAAGTGCAATGCATGATTGACAAAGGGAATGCGGAATCGGATAAAATCTCCGCACCTCCCTCACAGGCTCGGGACCGAAACCAGCGTCTCACCTGACGATCCTGGCGTTGTTGCCTCGTGGGACAGCGCGGCAGTTGCCCAATGGTATCAGCACAGCCGTGACATACGGCCCAGCAGAGCAGTAGGGCGTGTAGGAGGGGAACTTGGCTGCAGCTTGGTCCGCCATGGCCATTGCCAGCACCTGCGGATTCTCCTTCTGCTTCTCCCGCTGCTGCCGATGCCACTCCAGTATCCTTTGCTCCTGCTGCTGCACCTGCGTCTCCGCTTCCGCATCCTCTTCTTCTTCCCCAGATAATGGGGTTGCAGTTGTTGTGGTTACCACTGGTGTGGTTACAGAGGCAGTGGTGGCGAGAGAAAATGACCTGGTGGTGGTTTTGGGCTTGGTGCTGCTGCTGCTGCTGCTGCCACTGCCACTGCTCATGCTGCTGCTGCTGCTGCTGCTGCTAACGCCGTTACTTCTGGAATCAGAGGAAGGGAAGAATTGGGAGGTTGGGCTCTTGGGTTTGGAGGGTTTTCCTTTGGGGTGTGCAGCAGGGGAAGCTGAGGGTGCTTTGGTGGGCGATGACAACGGCTGCTTTGATGCAGCGGAAGGCGGTTTTTTTGTAGGAGAGGGGGGGGACTGAGAGGAGGAAGGTGAAGAGGATGGGGAGGAGGATTTGGAGGATGGAGGCTTACTCGGAGGGGAGGGGGGAGTAGAGTGAGGAGGAGAAGGGAGGGAGGGAGATGCGGACGAGGGAGGAGACGAGGGCTTTTGAGGCTTGCTCTGCCCCTTCCCTCCCGAACCACCAGGTCCCCCTGCCGAACCTGCCGAACCACCTCCCGAACCTCCGGAACCTCCTGAAGAACCTGCAGGCCCACCTCCCGAACCTGAAGTTTGCCCCGAACCGGGAGGGTCGTTAGGGGGCCCTGACGTGTCGGATAGAAGGGTCCCGGAATTAGGTGGAAGGGGAGGAGAGGTGGAGGAAGAGGAGGGAAGGGTTGATGGTGATTTGTTAGTTGGTGGTGAGGGAGAGGAAGGAGAGGGAGGAGGGAGAGAGGGAGAAGAGGGGGGAGGAGTGCGAGGAGGAGGAGTGCGAGGAGGAGGGGTGCGAGGAGGGGGGGTGGGGGAGGTGTCGGGAAGTTGGAGAAAGAAGGCGTCGTAGTTGAAAACGGCCTGGCAGGCACAGGCAGAGGGGTCCAAATCGCAGAGAGAGGAATGTGAGGCGGTGTGGTTCGGTTGAATGCGAGGAACGTGAAACCAGGGGGCGAAAAGCGAGAGGGGCGAAGGGTGAGGTGGAAAGGAGGAAGAGGGATGCGAGCCGGTGTGGTGCGGTGAAGTGAGGTGGCACAACTTTCTGGTCCCAGTGCTGCCGTTTACTACTGCATTCTCGTGTTTCTGTGTTTGTTGCCTCGTATTCTCTTGTTCTTTCATCCCTTGTGTCAACGGCTCCCACTTTACAGTCTGAAAAACGTCACCGCTCGTTGCCTAAGTGGAGAGAGAAACAGAAATGGCAACGAGGACGGCAGCAGCGCGTACCACGGGCTGCATGGCGGTGCCATTCGGGGACGGCTCTTCCTGAATGTCCACCGTGGCGTTCACCACCGCCTGGTGCCAGGAGCGGGGGCAGGGGGGAGAGGCGAAGGGGGAGGAAGAGGGTGAGAGGGGAGGAGGGTTGGCGGAGCGGGGAGGGGAAAGGCAAAGGTGGAGAGAGTTTGGAACGGCTGGCCTAGGAATACTAGAACGGGCGGAGTGGGGACAGTGACAAAACATGAGCTGTGAACCTAGTTGTTTATTCGTACAGAGTTTGAAAATAGCTCGTGGGAGTGCCTTTTTCGCGAACTACCATGTCGAATACTACATTGACACGCGAAGGAGGCCAGCCAGCCAGCTCACAAACGGCTTGCTGGCAAGAAAGACGGCCGTACCTTGCCGGCCGGCAGGCCTGTGGCTACCGCGTCTTCCGGAATCGTCGGTGTTACCGTTACAATCATGCTGTCCACGCCGCCACTTGAGCTGTTACTGTTACTGTTGCCGTTGCTGTTACTGTTCCCTTTATTAACCGCTCCGCTGCTAGTGGGATCCCCGCTGTTGCTACCAACAGGCTGCGTCTTATTACCCCCGCTATTATTGCTTAAGTTGTCCGCTGCATTGTTCCTAAGCCAATCGCTATTATTCCCAGAGCTGTTGCTATTGCTGCTAGTGCTGGTATTGCTGTTGCTGCTGCCGGTACTACCACCGTTGCTGCTGGCGCTGCTGCCACCGTTAAGGGAACTACCGGCTGTCTTAGTAGTGATTGTAGCGAGCGTCCTCCGCACCGAACCTCCTTCCGAACTGAACTGCTTCGGTTCGACATCAACAGACGCAGAAGCAGCGTCAGACGCAGCAAATGAGCCAGCCGCATAAGCAGCTAATTCATACCGTCGTTGGCGATTAGCTACGATGCTGACGCTCCAAGGCAAAAGGTGTCTCCCGCCGCGCGCCAATTTGGCTGCAACGGTTTTTGCGGCCGACGTTTTAGTATCGAAGGCCGTGGCCGCGGCTATGGCGACAATATGCGGTGCTACAATCACGGAGAATAAAACCCACATTTGAATTCGGAAGAGCCACCTTCGGCGATCGCGAGCCATCTTATTTTGAATACTTTATTCGCGTTAGCGAGTCACTTTGTGGTGGGAAATGATAGCTAATCCCTGCTCGCCAAGAGTGAGCAACGCCACTACCGTAGTATTGAACATAAAGCGCCCCTAGGCTCAATTCAATCTACGAGCCGCGCATGTTCGTTCTACAATCTACGACTGCAGCATCTCAATGAGGTGATTAGGCGCCTCAAAGTTAAGCTGACTTTTGAGTCGACGCAAAAATTTACGAGCCACGACTATTCATTCTACAAGCTACGACTGTAGCATCTCATTCCGCCTTGTGGTCGCTCGTCTTCCCCAAGCCTGGGACACCATGGTCCGTCAACTCTGCAAGCTCAGTGTGCTACCTCGGGAACAGAAGTGTCAAGAATGCACGGGGCCGGCGATACGACGAGAAAACATTCGTCGAAATTGTTCTGCTAGTGTTGTGAAGAGAGATCAGGAACATCCCTGCGGTCCATTCCATGCCGCAGAGTCTCCCGCGGACCCGGCTGGAAACGACAAACAGGCGCTTGCAAAGATTGGTGCTGCTCGCGTGCCCGCTAGTCTGTTGACCCGCTAGCCCTAAAGGCCTGAAACGGAAGGAGAGGAAGGAAACTCGTAACTTGACACGACAAGCACGCCTTAGTATTGAATGTGGAGAAAGGGCAGAGGGATGGTTGTCGTGCAGCGGGAAATGAGGATGCTGAGGAGACGAGCTGGTTGACTCGTGATTAGGTCACCATGGTGCTAAGCGAAGGGAGAAAGAGGGAGTAGCTGGTGGTGTATGGGTTAGTTACGGTTCAGAAGGTTTGGTAGGGATTGGAATGGAGTAGGATGCAGCGAGGGGTGCCACTTGGTGGAGCCTTGATCGCATCGCAGGTCGAGGTGAGGTTTTGCCGAGTGCCACACGCAACGCAATGGTGGATGGCGGCGAGGGAAGGATTCAAGGGAAGGGAAGAACGAGGCGAACGAGACTGAAGTGGAGTGGTGGATTGAGGGGCGACATTTGGAGTCGCGTTACGTGCCCCTGAGTGCGGCGCCGCGAACTTTGTGGGTCTGTTAGACCCCGCTCGGCACTAGCCACGTGTTACAGGTGGAGAAGCAAGTTCCGATCTCATGTGCTTATTCGAGGCTCAAAACTTTCCAAGTCTGGATATTTACGTAACCCGGAACGTTCCAACGTCGTGCGATCTTCAAGTGAGTACTCCCCTGCTCATGGGACAAACTCATTTGCTCTGCGAGATTCGTGGTGGGTGGTGACTGCGCACTAGATGGAATGCTACACCCATGTGAAATTCATTCGACTATACGCACTTTTGGTCGCACCCATGTGCTGCACTGGGTGTACGGACTGCAGCGAAACGTTAACAAAACCTGGCTTTCTTTCCTTACAGGTTTGCGTAGTGATTGAAATGTAAATGAACGGAATATAAAATATGGGTGACATTGCATCACCGCCACCAATCAACTACTATGATACACTAAAAAAGTATCTGGAAGCAAACTGGTCAATTTGCTAGCCACAGTAAGGTACTGCTGAAGTCATGGTAACTGGTCCACAGGTGGAAGCTTTAGCCGTGCCCGCCTGGCACATGCGCAGTGTGACCGGGCCCTGGCGCACCTGCCCTCGAAAATTGGGCACCTGGAAAGTGTATTTCCGCTGGCAGCCTACATAGACCACAGAGGATGATTTGGAAGCGGCGGGTTCCCCATATGACAGCTTGGCATACCATGCCTTGCTAATCCTGGGAGGAGGTTGCAGAGAAGGGGAGCGTGGAAGGAAGGAGGAAAAAAAGAAGCAAAGAAAATAAAGTGAACACGACGGATTAAGAACACGTCTCGACCTTCATAAGGATATACCGAACACGTCTTGACCTACCGATATAGAGTAGGTACGGCTACATGGGAAAAAAAAAAAAAAAAGGGGGGGGGGGGGGGGGTTTAGGGCGATAAGCCACAATGAGAAAGAGGTGAGGAAAGTACGTACCTCACAACCTTCGAAGTAGCTGTGGCTTTCACTTTGCACTTGCCGAGAGGGATCAAGGCAGCGCTCACATACGGCCCCTCCTGGCACTGCGGCGTGCCAGACGGCACACCGCCATTCACCGCACCCCCTGCTGCTGTCCCTGTCGCTGCTGCCGCAAACTTTGACGTTGCTGCTGACGTGGACGCTGATTTCGAAGCTGATGTGGCAGCTGACTTGGAAGCTGACATGGCAGACGCAGAAGCTGCGCTCGAACTGCCAGTGGCAGCAGCAGCAGCGGCGGCAGCGCGGGCATCAGGGCCGGTTAAGAACCATCGGGCAGGTGTAACGGGTTGGGGTAACTGCTTTCTCTGCGCAACTGTTGAGCCTGTGCTGTCACCTAATGAGCCGGCCGCGGTGCTGCTGCCTGTAACCGCAGCTATGGAAAAAGTCTGGGACGAGGATGGATTGGGAGAAACAGAAGGAGAACCAGAAGTCGAGGCTAAACCCGAGGCAGCACCCGAGGCTAAACCCGAGGCAGCACCCGAGGCTAAACCCGAGGCAGCACCCGAGGCTGAACCCGAGGCAGTATTGCCGCTGCTGCTGGTGTCAATTGCTGTGTTGGGATTTGCATTACCACTGCTTGTGGTGCTGCCGCTGCTGCTGCTACTGCCAGTGCTGCCGGTGTCGGTACTGGTACCTGTGGTGCCTGTGCTGCTGGTGCTGGCAGTATTGGTGGTGCTACCAGTGCTGCTTGTGGTGGTGCTGCTACTGTCGGTGCTACCACTGCTGCCGGTGCCCCCACTGCCGGTGCTCCCACTGCCGGTGCTGCCGGTGCCCCCACTGCCAGTGCCCGCACTGCCGGGGCTCCCACTGCCGGTGCTGCCAGTGCCCCCACTGCTGGTGCTGCCGGTACCAGTAGTGCTACCAATGCTTCCAGTGCCAGCAGAGGCACTGGCAGTGGGGTCGGTGGTGGTGTCAATTGGAAAGACAAGAATGCTGTAAGACACAGTCACCGTCACGCCTGCACCAGCGGCGGCTGCTGCTGTGGATGTCACAACGCCCAGAGACGCATTCAGCATGGCCTGAGGCGGGTGGCGGGGAGGAGAGGGAGGAGAGAGTGGAGAGGGAGGAGAGGGAGGGGAGGGAGCAAATTTGAGAGTCACGCCTGCAGCACTGCTTTTGAGGCGCCTCTTGAGGCGACTTTTGAGGCACCTCAAATAGCGGAAGGATGAAAAGGAGGAGAGGGATGGGAGGGAGCAAATTCAAGAGTCACGCCTGCAGCACTGCTGCTGGCGGCTGTTGCTGTGGATGTCACAACGCCAAGAGACGCATTCAGCATGGCCTGAGGCGGGTGGCGGGGAGGGTAGGGTGCCACGGCGGAAAGGGAAGGAGGAAGGGTAAGGAGGGGACAGAAAGGGGACGGGGGGAACAAAGGTCAGGCAGGGGTAGCGACGCAAGACAATTTTCCTTCCCCATTCACTCGCACCCGCCATTTCCCCCTCAACCCCCTTGCCCGGTCCCTTTCTTCCCCCCCCCCCCGCACGGTTTTTCCCCCAGTAGCACACCTGACCCTCCGCCCCTCCCCCGCACCCCTCTCACATCGCACCTGTCCTGACGGGAACCCCAGCGCAACAGCGTCAGGCGGGATGGGCGGCGTCGTCGTCGACTCGAACATGGCCGTCGTCGTCGTCGCACTGTCGCCCATTCCCAGTCGCACGGCCTCCGTCGGCCCGCCCGACCCAATCCCAGGCACCCACGCGCCGCTCCCCGCGCCGCCCGTCCCCGCAACATCCGGCACGTATCCAGCCCACTTGCTCCGCGTGCACTCCCGATCGTGGCACATCACGTGCGCGCGCCCGCCCTCCCACCACCGGTCCTCGCTCTCCATATCCTCCGCCGGCGGCGGCGGCGGAGACGGCGTGGGCGTCGGGGTCGCAGAGTCGTCGTCGTCGTCGTAATCGTCGTCGCCGTACGGCCCGTCGTCGTCGTTGTCGTCGCCTCCCCCGTTGTTTCTCCCTTGCTGCCATTCCGGCCAGCCGCGGCCCTTCCAGCTTCTACAGTTCTTAGGGCTCCTGTTAGGGTCGCAAGGAGGACCTTTGCCGTCGCCGCCTCTTCCGCCGTCTCTTCCGCCCCCGCCTCTTCGATCATTTCTTTCTCCTCGTTCGTTTTTCTCACCCCTTTTATGCATCGGCTGCGCTTTAGAGGCGGTGCTCGCCGTTTTGGGCGCAACCTTCGGTCCAGCTGGGACGGCTCCTTTCGCGGCAGGTTTAGACACTAATTTCCCCGCAGAAGCTTTCACGGCGGTTTTAACAGCGGATTTCACAGCGGTTCCAACGGCGCTTGTGACGGCCTTAGCTGTCAACTGCTGCGGCGTCGCGACCAAAAGGCGGAGGAGATGACGGCCACTGCTAGGCTCGGCCGCCTCTTGCGGTGCCTCGATACTCGTCTTAGCCGTCAACGGCTGCGCCGTCGCGACCAGAAGTCGGAGTAACTGACGGCCACTCCTCGGCTCGGCCGTCTTACCAGTTCCTCCCAACCCTTCCACGGTTGTACCCGCAGCTGCTGACGTGTCATCCCAGAACGCCAGCAGATGTCTAAATATGTGTCCAAATCTGAGTGCAAATCTAGGTTTGAATCTGTTTACTACGAGCTCCGAGTCTCTCCGGGAGGCAAGGCTGTTGGGGCGTGAGCTGTCAGCGCTATCGGCGGCGCTTTCGGCGCTATCGGCGCGCAGCAAATGTGCACATAGTAGTGAGCATATTATAAAAACTGCCCAGCCTGTTAGAAAAGAGATTCCAGACTTGCCAGAGTTGCTTCGCAAACCCATGGCCCCGCCGGACGCGGTTGTCGGGATTCGCGGCTGCTGGGAGAACTGAGGTGGAGGCGAGATGTACGGTTAGGATGACATCTAAGCCAATAACTGCATGGAACCCGAAAGTAGACGGCGAGGATGCATCCGTGGGCGCTGGAACCCTAAAATACACGGCTAGTGCACTAGTGCACGTAGGCCAAGTCAAAAGCGGCGAAGTCTGTTTAGGAAAAAACAGCCTAGCGAGGCAAAAGAAGACCGTTTGTATCTTTCGTACATGCGAATCTCAATCGCATGTATCAGCTGTTTCTTCATTCGCTTCTGTAGATGATTCCATATTTATACGAAATGGATGAGTACGGTTTGAAGGAAGTAGCGAGCGTAGCCGAGCGAGCGCAGCCGTGCTAGCAGTTGCTACACAGGTTACACGCGTAAGTTACTATCTTGCTCTAGCGCAGCCGAACTAGCTGTTGCTGCGCGGGTTACACGCTGTGCGGCTTGACTGAAGTTACTATCTTGCTCTTGCTGCAGCTGAAACGTGGCTGTTACCTTCTCTGGGAATCATGTGAAAAAGGTTGGGAGGTTGCAAGCAACCAGTGAAGCACATGGAGCAGCAACAACAGCAGGCAGCAGCAAGCGGCAGTAAGCCAAGGGAAGGAAAGAGAAGGGAGGCCATGGCGGACAAATGGGCTGGTATTGAAACTTGGAGGAGGCAGTTGTGCTGCAGGTGCCAGGCGGGGGAAGCAGTCGGTCAGGCAACTTGCGCACGTTGGGCGGGTGGGGTGGCGGAAGGGACTAGGGTTGGGGCGCGGAGATGATGGGGAGCGCGCAAGGGATGGGAGATGGGGAAGGGTTTGATGAGACGCAGAATGTAGGGTTGTTACAAAGTTGACGGGGCGTACAGAGTTGACGGGTTGGAGCTGGTTCTGTAGGGGTTGAAGCTGGTTCTGGAGGTTTAACAGAACTCCTTGGGACCACTTTGTGGTGGCGGATTGAGTTTTGACCCTCGATCCTCATCTTTCCAATTGTAGCGCCAATTTGAGTTCGCGGAAGGGGATGAGAGGAGGGGATGTTGAGTGCAGGAGAAGAGGACGGGTAGGGCGCAAATTAGGGTTGAGGATTAGGTTGTCAACCTGTTGTGGATGCTGGCACAAGTCGCCACGGGAGAATTCGGTTTCGACGACACTGGTTACCAGTTTAGGTTTCGATGCAGGGGCAGAAATCGCGAAGCTCCTTCCAGGGTGTGCCTGACGTCGTAGGGACTTTAACGGTTGCGATGATACCAGGTCATTTTCAACGGACGGATGAGGCCTTGAGGTTGGTGCAAAACCGCAGCAGTCGGTGGCTTGGTGAGGGGCAGGTTTTCAGGGAACAAAAGCCAAGGCGCATGTCAGGCAGCGTGTCCCCCAACCCCAACCCCAATGTTCCCGTCACCTCCGCTCCGCAGGAGAACTGCCGTGCCGTCTCCATATCATCACCGCGAAGGCACGGGGCGGGGGGGGAGGGGGGGGAGAGGAGTGCACATGTCGTACCAGGGTGCACACTCATGTGCCCTAAAAACAAACAAACAAACAACAACACGTCCAACCACGTCAGCACTTTAAAACCGGGGTGCACATTCAGCTGAATGTGCATCAAAGGTTATCCCTTGACTGAGTGGGTTACGAGGTGTGCTTTCAACCCCTTCAAGTCTAAATTCGTTTCCCCCCTCCCCCGCAATTTCGTTTCCCCACGCCCCCGCAATTTCATTTCCCCCTCCCCGTCGAAATTCGTTTCCCCCCTCCCCCGCAATTTTGTTTCCCCCCTCCCCCGCGATTTCGTTTCCCCCCCCCCTCCCGCCAATCTGTTTCATCCCTCCCGCCATTCAGTTTCACCCACTCCCGCCATTTCACCCCCTCCCGCCACCTACGAAATGCCCGAAGCTCTAGCGGAATCATTTTTTTGTCGCCCCTCGTGAGCCAATCACTGTTTTTCTCCAAACCCCCTTCCCAACATCTCAAGCCGAACCGCGTTGAATGTGCACCCTGGTTTTAAAATCCCGGTCCGTCCCTCTGGCTCACGCTGTTGTGGTTTGAATGAGGGCACTGCGAATAGAATTGCGCGAAAGGGTAATTGGGACACCAAACAACTCGCACTTCACGTGCCCGTCACAACTGGTGGGGAAATGAATGTAACTGTGCTTGTGTTGAATTCAGACGACGGAAAGCTGTACTTGCTTGTGCTAGTCCGTTCCCTTTGTAAAACCATTTTGTTGCTGAGTATAACACAAGCGTTAAGACAGGATGACGAGCTAGCTATAACACCAGAGTTGCTTCACTGTTTCCCTGTGCGGTGCTTCGCCTTTACATGGTTTGCTGAGTCAGAAGACGTGAATCTCCTGCAAGACAAGTGACATTGAGTTTGGGACGAAAAGGGGTCAAATGCTTTGGCGCTTGGAGCATGTAAAGAAAAAAGACACAAGAGCAAGGCAAGCACAAATTACATTGATAAGATACAAGCGTTACAAAGGTCTTACTTTGAACATGCTGTGCATGGGAAGGAGCCCGATTTAGGAGTCGATGGCGAGGTGATCGGAACAGAAGTAGGCGACTTGCGCATTCCAGAAAGCAGTCCATGCAGGGTGGGGAAGGGGGAAGGAGTTATGGAGGCATGGGGTAGAGAATGGTAATACCGTATATTAGGTGACAGCGACACGAGTCGACAATTTAGATTGCGTAGCATTCTGATGCATCAGTTAGGAAAGGATTTGGAGCAGAATGGAGAGAGCGTGAATCTTCCAACTACCTTCTGGGCCTGAGGAGAGGTTACTGTTGCAGCTGCCTGCGGCTTCACCGTGGCTGCACACAAAAGCAACAGCAAAAGACCGTGTTTGTGGATTTGGGTGTAAAGAAGCAACTTTTACGGAATCTCAAACAGTGTCAGGGCGTGAGGTGCCCACGACTCTCAGAACTTCAACACCACATCATCTTCTTCCCTCAACCCACCCGCTGTCTTGACAGAACCAGCACTGAAAGGGCGTAGGGAGGCAAAAAGTGTGATGCGCTCAATACCGGGTTCCCTCATTCCATTTATTGTCTTGATGATACCCACGGCGCGGGGCGCTTACAACTATAATGAGCTAACCACCACCTTCCCCGCACCCTACCTGCTGTCTTGATGGCAGCGGGGGTGTCGGGGCGAGGCTTCTTCCTCGCACCCGTTTTCTCCGCCTTGCCTTTTGAGGAGGGCGGATTGACGATGCTCTCGGCTGCCCGTTTGCTGCCCATCACCTCTTCTCCCCCCACCGCACCCACCTGTAGTCTTGACGGCAGCGGGGTATCAGGATGAGCTACTTCCTCTCACCCGTGTTCTCCCCCTTGCCTTTCGAGGAGGGCGGAGTGGCATTGCTCACTGCTGCCCGTTTGGAGCCCGTCGCAAACACACTTCCCGCACCCACCTGCTGTCTTGATGGCAGCGGGGGTGTCGGGGCGAGGCTTCTTCCGCTCAGTCTTCTCCCCCTTGCCTTTCGAGGAGGGCGGAGTGACGATGCTCACTGATGCCCGCTTGCTGCCCGTCACAGGCTGATAGAGGGGCGTGTGAGGGAGGGTGAAGGAGGGATACGAGCAGAAACACCATGACTTTGCTGCGTTGCAGGCGGCAGGAGTTGCATGGACATGCAGTCTGCAGCACAGTGTACAGCCAGTCACTGCTATCATGTGAATCAACAATGTGATGAAATATGATTATTGGGCAGTTTTTTTTTTTTTTTTTTAAGCACAGTGCTCTAAGTTTGGCCCGCAAACAGGAACAGCTGGTTCTCATTCCCCAGTTGCATGTACGGTACCACTTTTTTTTTTGCTATAACATCTCCTGTTTCACCCACCCACCCTTTTCTTCTCCGATTCTGACTGAGAGAAGAGTGGGTCCACTTTTGAGGCACCTCAAAAGTCAACTCTTCGCTGAACCTTTTTTTTTTTTTTTTTTTTTTTATGAACTGACCTCTTTCTTTGGTGTCACTTCCTTCCCGTTCCGCGGTGCGGAATCTTTGCCTTCAGCTCTTGCCACCATTGGAGTTCCTTGCTTTGATGCTGCTGCTGGTGTTGCTAATGCTGCTGCCCCTCTTCCCCCTGCTGGGGAGGGCACTGGAGTGCCCTTCTTTCCAGACTTGATGCGTGCTGCAGCAGAACGAGGGCAGAAAAGATTTGGGGGCATGTTCTGAGGTTAGTGGGCAATGGGTAACAGGGGTTTGGGACGTCTAAAAGCTGCAAGACAAGCGGGCATGATTTGGAGCGGATGGCAGTGGGGAATGGCAAAACACAATGGGCAATGGGAGATGGGCGATGGGCAATGGGCGATGGCCGACGGAGAAACAGGTGTGGGAGGAAGGTGAAGGACGGAAGCTGGAAACGAAAAAAAGGTCTGCAGTGCACTGACAACCTCACAAGAGACTCTAAAGAATGTGTCAATAGCAACAGAGAAGGAAGGGAGACGAATCTCACCTCGCTTCTCAACAGCAGCCGCTGCAGCCGCCGCCATTCCCTTTGACGATTTCTCAGCTGGAGATGGAAGACGAGGGGGGTAACGAGATAGTGAATGCCTTACCTTCCAATCACAAAACCGCAGATGTAGACCATGTACAGTTTTGCCCCACCACACACAGAGTCATGCGGAGTGAAATGGTACAGCTAACCAACGTTGTTACTCCAAGCTTGCCTTACTTGCTGTGATTGAAACCATATGGCACAGCTACTGCCTCAGTCCCTTCCCAGCTCACCTGCCATGGCTGCTGCCGCTGCTTCCTCATCGTCACTGCCTTCCATCGCCTCGTCTTCTTCGTCTTCCTCTTCCTCATCATCATCCTCATCACTGTCCTCCTCCTCGTCCTCTTCCTCATCCTCCTCAATTTCCTCGTCATCATCTGCACAGCACAACACCAAGTATGCACATAAGCAGAAATAAAAAAGCATCTCAATCCGTTTCGGTGTGAAGGAACCTAAATCATCCACTCACCATAAAATCACTCATGCGCACATGGCCATTGGGGGGTGGAGTCTCCCTGTACAAGAAATCACGTCACCACACAAGCACTCACCATACAGCGAGTCAAAACCAGTGGCATCAGAGGTCTTATATCCCGAGAAGAACACGCTGTGACTGCCTGTGTGAGCCAGGCTGAACTGGCGATCGAATATGTGGTCCATGGCTGCAAAGTTCACCCGCCCCTTCACCAGCACGCCCACATGGACATGGGAGGTGGACTCTCCCCATACAAGAACACACCACACAAGCACTCACAATACAGGGACTGAGCCCCATACGAATCAATGGGGGGCGGAGCCTCCCCATACTAGCACTCACCATCGAGGGACTCACCATACAGGGAATCAGCAGCAACAGAATCAGAGGTCTTGTACCCCGAGAAGAACAGTTTTGAGGCGCCTCAAAACGGGACTCACCATACAGGGAATCAGCAGCAACAGAATCAGAGGTCTTGTACCCCGAGAAGAACAGTTTTGAGGCGCCTCAAAACGGGACTCACCATACAGGGAATCAGCAGCAACAGAATCAGAGGTCTTGTACCCCGAGAAGAACAGTTTTGAGGCGCCTCAAAACGGGACTCACCATACAGGGAATCAGCAGCAACAGAATCAGAGGTCTTGTACCCCGAGAAGAACAGTTTTGAGGCGCCTCAAAACGGGACTCACCATACAGGGAATCAGCAGCAACAGAATCAGAGGTCTTGTACCCCGAGAAGAACACGCTGTGGCTGCCCGTGTGGGCCAGGCTGAACAGCCGGTCAAATTTGTGGTCCATGGCCACATGGCAATGGGGGGCGGGGTCTCCCCGTGCAAGCACTCACCATACAGGGACTCAGCAGCAGAAGAGTCAGAGGTCTTGTACCCCGAGAAGAACACGCTGTGGCTGCCCGTGTGGGCCAGGCTGAACTGCCGGTCGAATATGTGGTCCATGGCTGCGAAATCCACCCGCCCCTTCATCAGCACACCCAGCACCACCTCAGGCCCCACTGCAAACGACTTGGACTTCAACGCCCCCTTCCCCGCCTTGCCCTTGCCGTCATCATCATTCTCATCGCTATCATTGCTGTCATCGCTGTTGTCGTCATCATCAGAGTCATCAGAGTCTTCGGGAAATTCCACCTGCCTGACCTTGAGCACCACCCGCTCGTGGTCCTTGGCCGCCTCGCCTAGACTCGCCTGGGGTGAAGAGGGTTAGCCATGGATCGAACGCGAGCAGGGGAAGGAGGAAGACATAGGCCAACGATATCATCATTTGCCGGCGTCATCATTAAGAGTCATCAGAGTCTTTAGGGAATTCCACTCCACCTGTCGAACCTCGAGCACCACTCTCCCGTGGTCCTTGGCTGCCTCACCCAGACTCGCCTGGGGTCAAGTGGGTGAGACGTGGGTTGCATGGCATGCGAGCAGGGGAAGAATTTCCACATGGGTTTAATAATATCAGCGTTATTAGAGTTGTGAGGGTCATCAGAGGCTTTGTGGAACTCCACCTGTCGCACCTTGAGCACCACCCGCTCGTGGTCCTTGGCTGCATCGCCCAGACTCGCCTGGCACGGTGGAGTGAGGATGAAAAACCATTGTCATTGTTATCGCTATCATCGCTATATCATCACTGCCATCCCTGCCATCACCATCGGAGCCATAAGACCTGTCAGACCTTTAGCACCACCTGCACGTGGTCCTCGGCCACCTCGCCCAGACTCGCCTGGCACGAGGCGAGTGGGATGGGACGTGGATTGCATGTGAGCAGCGGGTGGGAGAATGAGGCTGCACAAGCACTGGATGGACGCCGTTCTCCATTCTATTAGCCTGCACAAGAGTGGAATTTCGACTCGCTTGTAGTGGCCTGCAAAGACACTTGTGAGTCGAATCAACGGTCACGTGGGTTGCACTGCACGTGGGCAGGGGGTGAGTGAGAAAATGCGACTCCGTTGTGACATGGGTTGAAAGCCGTTCGTTGTGTTACACTTCATGGGTGACATTCGGCTCGCTTGTGAAATTGCCTGACAAGCTTTGCACCAAAGGAAAATGTGTGCAGCACTTTCGCATGAAACACTGACATGCAACAAATATGTGCAGGCTTACCTGCTAAATCCGAGTTGCTTTTGAGAAGCCGACGTGTTTCTCTAGGACAGGTGGTGTGCAGGTGGTACCTGGGACAGGCGTACTTGGAACAGATGCACCTGGAACAGATGTACCTGGGACAGATGTACCTGGGACAGATGTACCTGGGAGAGGGGTATGTAGTCGAAGTCAAGCTCTGTGGGGTCCACCACCACTGCGAATCAAGAATTGAGAACAGTACCTGGGACAGGAGCGTGCAGTGCAGGTGGTACCTGGAACAGATGTACCTGGGACAGATGTACCTGGGATAGATGTACCTGGGACAGATGTACCTGGGATAGATGTACCTGGGACAGATGTACCTGGGACAGATGTACCTGGGATAGATGTACCTGGGATAGATGTACCTGGGACAGATGTAGCTACGACAGATGTACCTGGGAGAGGGGTATGTGGTCGAAGTCAAGCTCTGTGGGGTCCACCACCACTGCGAATCAAGAATTGAGAACAGTACCTGGGACAGGAGCGTGCAGTGCAGGTGGTACCTGGGACAGGAGCGTGCAGTGCAGGTGGTACCTGGGACAGGAGCGAGCAGTGCAGGTGGTACCTGGGACAGGTGTATGTAGTCGAAGTCATGCTCTGTGGGATCCACCACCACCGTCTCACCCGCCTTCACCTCCACACCTGTCGATTGATCAGATAAGAACCAGAAAATGGGATGGTAGTAAGAAACGATTGGTAGAGGAACCAGAAACTGCAGCAGAAGAAGGCGAAGAGGGCTCAAGACGAAAAACACAATATAAAAAAAAAATCGTACGCGCAAACTCTAGAGAACAGTCCTCACACTCTCAATACAATCTCATTTTAGTGACGCACCCCAAAACGACATCTCGACCGTCTGATCAGACGCAGCCGGTTTATTCCCCGCCGTACGATTCAAGAAAGAAGCTTTTCCTATGCGAAATGCTGCCAAGTATCACGACAAGGCTTCAATTCATCAGACGAAGAAAGGGGGTTCCAAAATCTGGATCCTGAGATTTCTTGAGGCGTAATGAACCCAGAGTCAAAAGTCGGTTATGTTTTGCGAGTATGTCTGGCGTTCAGGTCGTGACCAGGATACGATCGCTGATCATAAGGGAGGGACAATGCGAAAGCTATGGAATACGTCGGTTGGGGTAAGAATGAACCAATCAAAGAGCCAGAGGCCTGATAGCTCCCTAGAAAGTACTGGCTAGGAAAAAGAAGATTTCAGATAACCGAGCTGACCAGAATTTCGAGTGCGGGGTTGAAGGTTGTCATCGTTGTGTGACCCGGTCACTCATTGTTATGTCACACAACCGAAGTTCAGCTTTCATTACCCTACTGTATCTTATTGAAAAGGCGATTTGCTCATCATCATGTGAAAAACCTCGGGATGCTCGGGGGTCGGAACGGAACAGCAAAAAGCCATCATATGAATTCAGTTGAGGCGTTATCTTCTGTATGTATGTAGACTTTACCACTGTACAGAGCTGTACGCAATTGAACTGAGCCGATGCGGTACCCTCTAGCGCATCATGACATGAATCACCAGGCCAGTCAGGCACATACTTCCAGCTCAATTCTAGTAACTAGAAAAAAAAACACACCATCGGTAGATGTAGGAATTTCACTGTTAGACGGTCTGATTGTATTACGTGGCTGCAATCTGTATATTTGGTCGAGTAATCTCTGATAATGTTCTGGACCAGCAGCGTGACGAAGGTCGCGGCCTGCGGCTCTGCGACATGCGAGTCGCAGGGACCCGTCGCATGTCGCCCGCTTTCCACTGACGAAGAACTTTGGTGTCGTGCGATGGAGATGGGAACCGGGCTTGGCGTCGTCGGTCTACAGTTTTCCGGGCAGCTTTCGCTTGAAAAAGTCCAGCAAGCAGCGAAGGAGCTTGGGTCGAGATTTCCGCTCCTGCTTGCCCGAGTTGTCGGGCAGGGTAAAACTGGCGGTCCGCTTGAACTCCACTTGTGCCGTGACGCGAAACCAATCACTGTAGTGTCCCGGAGCATTGATGACGTGGCAGCGTGGGAGGCTGCTGCGCCATTGGACAACGACCCCAGCAGCCTCGAGAACGGGGAAGAGTCTGACGTGCCGAAGAAAGACCAAGAGAGTGACGCGTATGGTGATGCTTGTGGTGAGGGTGAGAAGTCCACGTCAGCAATGGAAGCAGAATTCAAGAAGTTATCTGCAGCAGACGTTGCGGTCGAGAGGGGAGTGGAGGAGGAGGAAGAGGAGGATGAGTTTGAGGATGCAGAGGATGGGGATGGGGATGGTGATGGTGATGATGATGATGGTGGTGGTGATGGTGATGGGAAAAGTGATGGTGATGGTGGTAATGGGGGCGGTGAATTCCAAGAAGCTAGTGCAACAGAAGGTAGTGGTGGAATCAAGGTGACCGGTAGATTCAAGGGCGCGGACAAAGCGGAGGATCTGCACAGAATAGTGGAGATGGAGTTGAATCAGCCAATCACAGGAGCGCATGGGGAAGCACCCGCTGACGCCTTGCAGGTAGATAGCAAGGGCCTTCTGAGTGGCACTGGGTGGCACTGGGTCGCACTGGATCGCACTGGGTCGCACTGGGTCGCACTGGGTCGCACTGGGTCGCACTGGTCGCACTGAGTCGCACTGGGTAACACTTAGTTGCATGGAAAAGCTTGTCTGGATGTTGTTTTCTTTCTTCTTGTTGTGGCTTTCCAGTGAATGTTTCGCCTGCCTATTATCCTGCTCCCTACAGTCCGTTTCTGCATTCGGCTCCCTCCTGTCCTGCCCTGAGCCTGAATTGTTGAACCGTTGAGCCTATCCACCACAGCAAGCCAAGCACCATGTTCATGAGCAAGCCAATTATCATGTTCTCTCCCCATTTCTAATTTCCTCCGGTCCCAGGCTTCCCTCCTCTGTGCGTTATCCTTCTCTTCCCTTCTGTCTCCTTATCCGTCTCGTCCACAAGACTCAATATTTGGATACACGTGTACCATTTTCCCCAATCCCACAGATCCACATGTACCATCTCCCACGCGCCACCTGTATCGCTCTGCGCTGCCATCGCGCCGTGCTGGACCGCCCAGCTGTTCGCCAGCTGGCAACAGCTCTCGTTTCCGCCCTGCACCACTCTCAACCTTCAGTCACCGCTAATCCCGCAAGGTACGTCGCACTCACTTCACTCCCTGCTGGACCGCCCAGCTGTTCGCCAGCTGGCAATGGCGTTCGTCCCCGCCCTGCACCACTCGCTACCTGCCAACTTATGGGCCAGACTCAGCCGTCCCAGCCGTTGCCGAGTCATCAAGCTACATCTCCAGCTTTCACAATTTCACGCCCACCACGCTCCCGCCATTCCATGACTTTTGGAAGCACCTCAACCCGACTTTCAGTTGAGTAAAAATCTCTCTTGCCACTCTCCAGCCTTTCATGGACAATGGCCCCCGCAACCGCATTTACTACAATTTGATTATGCTAGCCTTTCCCCATAAATCTCTCTTTTCCCCCACTTGCCCTCCCACCCCCTCTGACATTCCGTCCCCTTACAGGGATTCAGAAGCCGTCTCTCTCCCACCTCCCCTCTCCTCGCTCATCCCCAAGCCCGCTGGAACCCTACCTCTCCAAGGGCCTCTTTCAAGCCTACGACGCTCTGGCCTATGTGTGCAGCTGCCTACGAGTGCAATTGCTTCCGAACACCTCTCTCAATGAACTCCCGTGTCACCCCACTACCTTCCCGCCCACCCCCTCTGTCTTCTTGTTCCCTTGCAGGGAATCAGAAGCCGTTCCCCTCCCGCCGCCCCTCTCCTCGCTTATCCCCAAGCCCACTGAAACCCGCTCCTATCTCTCTAAGGGCCTCTCTCAGGCCTACGACGCTCTGGCCTATGTGCGCAACTCCATGGCCTCCTCCCACGCGCCCTTCCAGCCTGGCCGGGCAGACAGCAGGAAGAACGAATTCCGCTCCTCCTTTTCCTGCTTGCACTTGGACAAGCAAGGTCAGTGCTCATCCCCCTTGCCTCTCGCACCTGCTCTCTCTTCAGCCTCATTTTGTATTCGATTCAATATTCGACTCAAAAATCACCTCTCAAGTGTGCAGTGGCACTCAAGAATTTCCAATCCCATTTTCCCCTCCTTTCTGCTGCCGCCCATGCACCCAACCCTACAGAGACTGAAAGCCTCCTCTCTGCCCTGGCCTCTCGCTCCTGCTCCCTCTTCAGCCTTGAGTGTGCGGCGGCACTCAAAGCTGTGGCAGGTTCTTTTGTCCCCCCTTCTGAGGTGACTTTTGAGTCGACTCAAAAGTCACCCCTTCTCCACCTTACGTTTTCCTCCCTCTCCTCTGCCTCCCATCCATCCATCAGAGACTGAAAGCCTCCTTGCTGCCCTCGCCTCGCGCTCCTGCTCCCTCTTCAGCCTTGAGTGTGCTGCAGCACTCAAAGCCGTGGCGGACGCCAAGCAGCTGGGCAGCCGCACAGAAACGTTCAACGTCACCAGGTGTGAAGGTGGAATTTGACCGGGTGTGTGGGGGGGGGGGCATTTGACCAGCTGTGTGGGGGGGCATTTGACCGGGTGTGTGGGGGGGGGGGGATTTGACCAGCTGTGTGGGGGGGCATTTGACCAGCTGTGTGGGGGGGCATTTGACCAGGTGTATGGGGGGGCATTTGACCATGTCTGTGGGGGGGGATTTGACCAGGTGTGGGAGGGGGGATTTTGACCAGGTGCGTTGGGGGGCATGGGGATGTTCAACGCGGGGTTGTTTTCGATCTGAGCACTCCCCCCCCTCCTCTTCCACTTTCTCCCTCCCCCCCCCCCCTCCTCCAGCTTCATAACCTGCCGCCACCACCTCTTAGGATGGTCTTTATCCTGAAGTCCGCGTGTAGTAAGTCGATTTTTTAGTGAACATCCCCATAAACAATCGACTCAAAAATCGACTTACTACCTGCCTCCACCACCTCTTAGTGTGGTCTTGATTCCGAAGTCCCCTGGAGGTCTGTTTTTAAGCTCCCTCAACCTCGTCGTTCCTGTCCCCTCATTCTTCTTTCCCCTCCCAGCATCATGAACTGCAGGCCGCTACTGGACCCACCCCTGCCACCCGACGCCATGGGGGTGTTCACCTCGGGATTGCCGCTGAAACAGCCAGCCAATCAGGACCTGGAGCTCTGGGACGTGGCTCGCACTGTAGATGCTGACCTGGCAACTGCCGTCGGGCAGAAGAAACAATTTATTGACATGCCCGTGCTGGAACTGCTCTTTTCTACGGTAAGAATAAGATTAAATTCCTTTTTCAATGTGGTACCTAGACTGGGTTCCACTTGTAGCACCTAATCGGCAAAACGTCCACACTTCATATTTTGACACTGTTCAATGCGTGTACTACTTTGAAAAATGCTCGAGAGTAACACACGTGTGTCCTCACTCGCACAGCCTACACCTCATGCGAAGGTAACCCTCGGCACCTGCATTTTTACCTGAATGCCCCCTTTGCACCACTGAGGTTCGGCTATCACGGATTTGCCCTTCCACATTCTCCTTCTCATCCCATTCCCCCCACACCCCCTTCAACCCCCCCTCACTCCCCCCTGGACTTGTTGTCTCATCTGCAGGCCATGAAAACCCCAACACTTTCCCCCGAGTGCTCCCTGCGCACCTCCTTTGTGTCCGCCATCACCGAGTCGCCCTTCCCCATGGACTGGCCGGCCAATGAGGAGGAGGGACGTACGGATGGGGTTAGTGGAGGTGGAGATGAGGGTTTGGCACTTCACCTGGAGGGGTTTGTGGGGCCGATCTTTGCAACGCATGGCGTCGGCCCAAGCATATCCGTTGCGGATGCTATATGTGTAAGTAACATGTATGATGCACTTGCAAATACTTGACTGCTAAATTCATGTGGATCTGTTTGCTATCCCCTGATTTTATGTGCCGCTTGTGCTTGTTTCAGTATGGCGAGCTCCATATCTACATCAACTTCGTGTCTCCTTTGTTTTCACAAGAATTTATTGCTAGGTTTGTCAAATTATTCAAGCGGTACTTTGAGGAGGCAATGAGCTAGGATCTGAACTACCATTATGTATGAATATATCATAGAACTAAGCCACTTGCCTTTCTGAAGTTCTTTATCTATCAGAATCAAGTTCATGGCATGAAATCTACCACACATGAGAAAACTCTTACTCGTAATGTAACGAGGATGCGCTGGTTACGCTTTCGAAATACTTCGCGAAATGGTATTACGTGTCAGCACAACGCTGGGCCTGTCCAGCCCGTCATCCGTTTCCACTCGCCACGCCAGCATCACCCCGTCCTCCCCATCCTTGTGTTTCTCACTCCGCTGCCTGTCTCACCGCATAAAACCGTACAATTATTCATCTTTGCTCCCTTGCACTCTGCAATATTCCCCCTTTCCAAATGTTTTTGCCCCGGGGCTTCTTGCTCCGTCTCAAACTTCCTATCAACTAACTGCAGTGGAGCTTTTCTTCTCCCTCCTGTGCTGCTGTGAGCCCTGAGGCTGTGACCTAATATTTTCTTAGCACACCCTCCTATTTTTCGTAGGGTTAGTGTGGTCAGCCATGGCTTCCATTGCTGCTGTCTCTGCTTCTCTGTCGTCACTGCAAATCGCCAGCAAGGCGACCGTTAGGGCTAGCGTTGCATCCAGGGGCCTTGCGACTGAGCTGACGTGCGCGCGTGGGTTCGGATGCGAGAGTGTCCACGTTTCCGCTTGCGGCTCTGAGTTTGCGCGTGGCGATGCGCTGTTCGGCGGCTGCGCACAGGAGATCGAGCAAAACAGCAGCCTTGTAGTCATGGCAGGTGGGTAGAGTCATATGCACTCTAATGCTGTCGTCCAGTCACCTTCGGAGTTTGTTCGAGTTTGCGCGTGGCGGTGCGCTGTAGGGCGGCTGCGCGCAGGAGATCGAGCTGCAAAATTGCAGCGTTGTAGTCATAGCAGGTGGGTAGAGTCGCGATTACTCAAATGCTGACAGCTAGTCGTTCCCGTAGTTTGCTTTCGTGCCGCTCTTTAAGCAAAAAGAGAAGACATTTGTGAGTATGATACCAAATGGGCAGGCCACATTTTACATTCGAGCTTCAAAATAAGAAAAACTCCTAACCCCCGAGTCGCCTTCACGTCTTCGTAGAGAAGCCTCCTATCCGTAAAGATCTTCACTGCACGAAGGTTAATGTGGTGGCCGTTGTCCTGCTCAAACTGCCCTCCTTCAGTTCCTAGGGGCTATCTGAACGGGTAGTCATCACGTGATATGCCGGTCCCTAATTTTTGCTGATATGACGTCTGGTGTACTTTCTTCATAGAGAAAGACCTATGGTGAATCCGAAGCCACTTTATTGAGTTGGAACTTAATAATGCGCTCGTTAACTCGATCCATAAGAACTGGGTTGCCAGCATTGCTCCTCACCAGCGAGTGTCTATCATTCGCTCTCTTGGACATCATGTCCTCAACACCCTTGATGCTCCCCTCGTTTCTGGACAATTTTTGATTGAGAAGACCAGTCGACAAGTATAGAATCCATGTTTCTGTCCTTCACTTTCGTGGAGCTCTATCTTCTCAGCACCTTGCTGCTCCCATCCTTGCTGGGTAGTGCCAGACATGACCTCTTGAATGTAGCCGATGTTTAGAGTCCAAACTGTGTTCGTTCTTGGCTGTCTTGAAAGTCATGTTCTCAACACCGTTTCTTCCCCCCACCTCCCCATGCAGTGCCGAAGAAGAGGACCTCTCGGACAAAGACCAAGGTCCGCCGGGCTGTGTGGAAGGCTCAGGCTCGGGACGAGGCTCTCAAGGCTCTGTCCCTTGCCAAGTCAGTGCTTACAGGCCGCTCTAAGAGCTTCATCTATGTGCAAAACGAGAAGAAGAATGCTGTTGAGGAGGGCACTGATGAGGCTGCCTCTGAGTAGATTTAGGAAGAAAGCATATCAATTTCATGTTCTGGTCACATTAAAGCAATTCCAACGTTCTATATGATGGTGCCATGGCATCCTATGAAAGCAGGATCATGTGCACCTCCTGGATGCACTCTAGTTTGATCGCTCTCTCGATTCTTGAATAAAAGAGGTAATTGTAAACTAGCTACCATACTTAAAAAAGGATGGAGAGTATGAGTATCGCATCATTCTTCCAGCTACCATGATGTTGCAACTTTGTACAGAAATTCAGTAGAGAAAACCTACCAGTAGATGGTTGGGCAGTGTAAATATTGGGTCCAAAATACTCGAGCGTCCATTTTGATCATAAGCTCGTACCTACACTCCGGGCATTCGCCACTACTCAACTTGTGGCTTACCACCAGCGGTCATCGCTTCAACCATGCCAAACCCCATTACGCCTTGCACCACCTCTGGCAGATTCGCTTCGCTTCCAGCCGAGACGTAGCCCCATCCCCGCCCGCCGCACAACAGCCATGTCCCTTGTCTCTCGGCTCCGCGCCCACTCGTTTCCCCCCAGCCCCCTCTCCTGCTGACGTTTGCGCCTCCCCCACTGCGCCTCCCCTCCCATTTGATTGGAACGACATGTGCCTCCCTCCCTCCCGTCCCGCTTGCCCTTCGTCTTCCTCTCTAGCTCCTCCCTCCCCTCCCCTCCTCCCCACCCACCTCTCGTGGTTACGTTTTCAGGGCAACCCCCGTCTGACCTCTTCCCCTCTTTTCCTCGATTCACCATGACGACTTCTCTGAGGAAGAACCGCAAAAAGCGCGGCCACGTCAGCGCAGGCCATGGGCGTATCGGCAAGCACAGAAAGCATCCCGGCGGTCGCGGTAACGCCGGAGGCATGCACCACCACAGGATCATGATGGACAAGTACCATCCGGGTTACTTCGGTAAAGTCGGTATGCGTTACTTTCACAAGTCCATGAACAAGTTCCACTGCCCACACATCAACCTCAACGAGCTCTGGTCGCTCATTCCCGCTGACGTTAAGGAGAAGGCCAGCGGCGCCGGATCCGCTCCCGTGCTCGACGTGACCAAGTTCGGGTTCTTCAAGGTGCTCGGCGCCGGCGAGCTGCCATCGCAGCCGTTGATCGTGAAGGCGAAGCTGTTCAGCAAGCTGGCGGAGCGACGGATCAAGGAGGCCGGCGGCGCGGTCCAATTGACGGCGTAAAGTTGATTGGCAGGAAGCGGCTAGGGTTTCGTGGCTCGGTCAGGGATCCAGGAGTAGGGACTAGGCTTGCAAGGCTGCCGATCGGCTGGTTACCTGTAGGTTACTGGTCAGTTGCTTTGCTTGTTACGAGTTCCTCCATAATGGGTACATATTTCCTGATACAAGATACCGATTCCCTTGAGTCTGCTCCGGCCATGATGTCTGCTGTCAGTCCCAGCATTTAACATCCAATCATCCAAGCATCCACGCATGTGCCTCTCTCTCTGCAAGGTAGGCTCTTCAATTTCACGTTACCGTTTTTTCTGTCCTTAGTCACATTCTCACGTAGGATACGGAGGGATGAACGGACAGGGGGGGTAGAAGGGACGCGGAGTGCTGGGATGAAGAAGGGAGGATGTTGGCAGGATACAGCGCTACAGGATAGAGTCGTGAGGTTGTCTCTGAGGTGCAGTTGTTAGTGTTGGTGTCCGACTGTCTTGCGGTGGTGGCTGGCCTGCGAGGTGGTCGCTAGGATGTGCACGCAGTGGGTGGGGAAGCGGTTGGGTCGAGTATTAGAGGGACAGTGGGACGAGTGCTCGCCGGGGTACGAATAGGTGGCCTGTAGGCGTGGAGGTAATCAGAGGTTCGCAGAGATGTACTGAATAGTTCCGGACATACGCGTAGTCAGTAATTTCGGGAAAGGTATTCTCGTTCGTACTTAGCATTCGTCTTTTATGAGGTGCATGGCGAGCACTGAATTGGAGCGCGAAGTCTAGAGAGGGGTTCACTGGCCGGGAGGGTATTGAGAAGGTTGTGTGGGAGGGTGTTTTGGTTGGTGTATGGGATGGAATCTTGACTAGGGTTTCCACAATCGGCAGTGAATGCGGAGAGTGGGGATGAACCTTGACTGTGGATGTCGTTGGGCTAACTTTGGGGTAACCCTGTGGGCCTCTCTTTTTCTCTTTGCGTTCTCCTTCGGTCCGCCCTCCCTGTACCTTGCTCCTGTCTACTGTGAATTCCTGTTCCCCCCCTCCCACCCGCCCTTCGTCCCCTTCGTTACCGACCCTGGTGTTACTTCTCTCGGCGTCTCATCTCCTCGCCACCGATCCCCACTATGACCCCTTGGCCGTCTCTTCTCTTCGTTCTCTCCCCTCTCCCTCTCTCTCTCTCTCTCTCTCTCTCTCTCTCTCTCTCTCTCTCTCTCTCTCTCTCTCCCTCCCTCCCTCCCTCCCTCCCTGCCTCTTTCCTCCTGCCTCTCTCCCTCCTCACTTTTTCCTACCGACCTTAAGAACCGTTTCTCCTACCCCCCTGTTTCCCTCGTTCCTCTTTTCCTCCCTTTCCCCCTTCGCGCCTGCTTTCTCTCCCTTCCCTCGTCACCCTTGTTCTCCCCCCGTTTGTACCCTCCCTGTTTTTGGCCACTCTACTTTTGTAATTCCTTCTTTTTCCCTCTCTAAGGGCCCCTGTGATCCTCATGTTCATATTTCCTCTCTCCTTGTTCCTTGGATGAGAATGGGGGAGGGAGGAGAGGGCGGAGGTTGTGGGAAATAGTCTCGCAGGTCATTATGTCAAGTGGGTTTATGCACAGTGAGGTGATGGGGAAACAGTTACGAGTGATCATAATAAGTTCTATATCCTAGGATCTAGATTGTTGTGAGGCGCATTAGAGAACATCATTCGTCTTGCTATTGTGCGGTATGAGTCTCATAAGGTAGTCTCACCTTGTACACTAACTGCTAACGGAAATGTACTCACTCGTATTCAATGTCGGTTCGCTCCAAACGAATCATTTGTAAGCGGGACGACAGACACTAGCACTTTTTTGCGAACTTGAGTTACCGTCGCCGACCAAACAATCCCACAACTCCATTCGCTGACTGCCTTTGGCCCCGAACCGTGCCCCCCCTACGACGTCTGCGATTTGCTCGTCTGGTGTGACAACTTCGCGAACCGCCAGCTCCAAATCTCCAGTTTTGCGCTTCTTCGCCAACCTCATTAGTGGGACGCCATGTCAATCCCAGGGGATTAGCAATTTTTGCTCAGAACCTGTAAAAGCAGCCATGGCAGACGGGGAAAGCGCCAAGGTGGTCGTATTTAATCTGCTGCTCTGTTCTTGCTCTATTATCATTGTAAATGGCCAGTCCTCTCAGTATTGCCCTGCTTATTACGACTCTCTTAGCCACTGCGACAACCGCTCGCTATCTCCACCTTGTTCACCGTAAAGGTTCCGCAAATATTCAATATTTTACGGATGAACCAGAGGAATGGGAGAGTCTGGGCGTCGGAGCTTCATCTTGGAGGCACGGTAGGAGAGCGCTTGTCGGTAAAACTCCTGGTGAAGGGAAACTCTTGATGGATTCTGAGCCGTTGGATCCGTTAGAGCTTGTTGATCGTACTCTAATGGATTTTGACGTGACGTTAACGAAGACCGAGGACATGGATGAGTCGGATGATACTCCTGGAGAAATAGAATGGGAAACGATTATTCCGCTTCGTCCAGCGGATAGTGTCGTTTCAAGCCGAGAACGGCAGGATCGTTTCCTGTATGACGTGAATGGACGTCGTAGCGCCGCGTTGACGCATTACCAGGACAGCTTCTTCGGCGACGAAACCGTTTCTGAATTAGCAGGAGGTAAGAATCAGGATGATGCCTTGAGTGGTAGGTTTTTCCCTCGTGAAGAATTTATTGGAGAATTAGGCTATGTTTCAGGAGAAACGTTGGATGAAGTTCCGACATTGGATGAAATGGCAACGTCAGATGAAATGGCTGAAGAAGAGGAGACGGAGGATTTGTCTGAGCTTATAGAATGGAGAGCACCTACTGCAAGACCAGGAAGCATGAAAGGACAGAAAATGCATGGCAGAGAAGCTTCAGTTCAAGCATCTGGTGCACAAGCGGATCGTTATGGAGATTATAACGAGGATGGAGATTCCACAAACGATGTTGCACTGGATGCAATAGAAACTGAGATGAGTTACGGGGAAAGAAAAGGTGTCAGGCCTGGAAAAGATGGGGATTGGGATTGGGACTATGAGGACGTCAGCAGGAGAACAGATGACATCAGCATGGAAAACACAGGTGACGTCAGCCTGGGTGGCATTGGCAGCACGAGGGACGATGAAGATGACAGGAGGGAGGAAGCTGCAGCACTGCTGCAGGATTACCGGTACCGGCATGACAGCACGGGGGAGCAGGAGCAGGATTATCACACCATGCATGGTGTTTCGGCTGGAGGAGAGGGAGAGGACTTTGATGAGTTTCAGCAGGGAGGTGGTGGTGGTCAGGTGTCCATGCTGACAGCACCAGGCGTTGATGAGAGAGGGGTGAGTAGAGCAGGCACGCAGGGCCATGGCAGGCCGGTTGCAGAGCAATATGAGGACAGTGATCAGGTATTTGCGCTGGAAGCAGCAGCAGGTGTCGACAAGAGAAAAGCAGGGGAATGGGACCATGACCGGATGGTTAGAGCAAGAACAGAGGGTGGTATTGGGGTGTTGCCGCCGCTCAAGGGAGAGGCAGTATTGCCTGCACGCACTGACAACTGGGGCCTCCAAGAAAATCCTCTGAACGTCTCTGTTGAATGACTGACAGGTCAAACTGACGTTTCCAGACATCTCCATCTCACCCTAGAGGTTCCATCCCACCAACAAGTCTCCAGCCTATCTGAATTCGGACTTGACCACCTCACCCTGAAGCGCCTTTACTGGTATTGTATTTGCAGCTAAACAATATTGTGCAAGGGCTAGCACCGAATACAGTACATTTTTTGCCATCATTTGCCATCACATAGCAGAAGCACTACAGAAAACAACACACTGAACATGTCACATTTCTCAGTTTTAGTCCTGCATCCCTAGAGTGGCAGTCAGTACCAGGAGCCTCTCTTGCGCACATCCAGCCCATACTCCAACTGCATCTCATCCTGCCTCCATGTGATATGAGCACAGCTGCTCCACGCGTCTGCCTGAGCTGTCAGTCCGTACAGCTGTTCCATTCCAAGCCCCAGGAGTGGCAGTCAGTACCAGGAGCCTCTCTTGCGCACATCCAGCCCATACTCCTTCAACAGCGTCTCGTCCTGCCTCCACTTCTCCTTCACCTTCACTCGAATCTGAGCAATAGGGAGGTGGAGCAGAGATGGGGAGAAGTGCGGAGAAAGTGGTAAAGTTAGCGGGGAGGAGAAGGGAGCAAGGGACGGAGGAGGGGATGGGGCAAGGGATGACGGCGCAGCACTGCGCCTCTCGACCCCAAAATTCCTCCAAAGCAATGAGATGAGGAGATGAGATGAGGAGTTGGTGTTTCGGGTTTCAAAGCACCTGCCTCATGTCTTTCGAGGCATCTCCAGACTCACCTTTCTCACCTCCGGCTGGAGGCACCTCCTCCTTTCTCATCTCCAAGAACACCTCTCGCCCCCAAAATTCCTCAATGTCCATGCGAGCTTAGTGCAAGCACCCTGACAACCAATCTCCACCACCCATCTCCACCCATCTCCACCCTGCCAAAGCAGCACCCCTCACCTCGAGGAACACCTCTCGCCCCAGAAACTCCTCAATGTCCATCCGAGCTTGCTGCAGTGCCCTACCTTGCCCCTACGCCCATCGTCACTCCATGACAGTGCTCATCCATCCCCACCTCACCTCCAGCACCACCTCGCACCTCTTGCAGAGTAGGGCTGGATTCGAACCGCACCAAGCCTTGTGGCCTCCGTAAAACTTTCAGTTGAAGTGTGGTGGGTGGGTTACTATGTAAGGCTAGGAAAAAGGCAGAAGCCAGGACTTGATAAGTCTGGAAGTATAAGTAATGATTGGGCGAACGCGTTTCGGCCGTTAAGCCTTCATCAGGCACCTCCCGCACCACCTCGCACCTCCCGCACCACCTCGCACCTCCAGCACCACCCCTCACCTCCCGCACCACCCCTCACCTCCCGCACCACCCCTCACCTCCCGCACCACCCCTCACCTCCAGAAACACCTCTCGCCCCAGAAACTCCTCAATGTCCATCCGCGCTGCTGTTGCCAGCGCCTTCAGCTGCTTGCCCTCCTGAGGCGCTCGCATTCAACCGAGAGACGGTGGATGGTTGGATGGGGGAGGAAGGGGTGGGGGAAGGAGGGACAGGGTAGGGAGAGACGGGGGAGGGAGGGATGGTGGCGGAAGAGGGCAAGTGAGGGAGGGATGTGATGGGAGCATGAGATGATAGTGGTATTGTGATGAGATGATAGTGGGCAGATTTAGGTAATCTCTAGGTGCAAGGGCTTTCGAGGCGCCTCACAACTAGTAATGGTAACCTTTAGCCAAATGACGGTCTGGTGTTCCCGCTCCCTCTCAGCCAATGATGATGCTCATCTCTCACGGTAGCCCCTCTTTTCCTCCGTCCTCACTTTCCCCACTCCCTCGCTCCCTCACTCCCTCATTCCCTCACTCCCTCATTCCCTCACTCCCTCACTCTCTCTACTCTTTCTGCACCTTCCCCGGCAGAATCGCCTTCTGGCTGTCCCGTTCAACCATGATGTCAAGACTCATGTAGTCCTTTGCCTTCTCCGTCTCCCTTCCTTTGACCCACATACACATACTCTTCACTCCTCACGCTCCTCTCCCTTCACAATTCACCTTCCCCAGAAGAATCGACTTCTGGCTGTCTTGTTCAACCATGATGTCAAGACTCATGTAGTCCTTTGCCTTCTCCCTCTCCCTCTTCCTCTCCCTCTCCCTCTCCCTCTCCCTCAAATGGTCCGTTGTATTAATTCAGCAGGGGTACAGACATGCAGTTCTATCCATGATAACCTCTATCCCATAAGCCCATCAACTCACCCCTCTTCCCCTCCCCTCCCCCCTGAGTGACCCTCTAGCCCTCCAGCGTGTGTAGGATGTCCCCCAGGTGCAGCGGCCAGGGGTCCGCTGCCATCTGGGGGTGTGCTGCCTCAATCCCAGCCCGCGGAGGGCAGAGGAGCGCAGGCCAAGCGGGAAGGGGACCGCCCTGCTAGTTGCCGAGCCCAATCTGGTTGGGGGAGTCGGCGGAACGAGTCACGTGCCAGTCATTCGCCAGGCGGGGGGCGAGGGGAGGAACACCAGCGCAAGCGGGGAGAAACAGGGGTATCAACACAGAGGGGAGTGGAGACGATTATATACCGTCAGATCTGAGGCAACCAGACGATCCCGCCTCACCTCACGCGGAACAAGGAGAGGGGCAAGCGCAGCAACAGGAGAGAGGAACCGGCCGCAGACAGCATCGCAGGGCTCAGCTTCCCCCGGACCAGGCACTATCGGCATCCCAGCTGGCCTCGCGGGAGGATCTTTTCCAGATCGCGATGACTTGGGACCTTACACTCCTAACCTCCACCACCCACCTACCAATCGTCCGCCGACTGCCGCCGCAGATCCTCAACGACTACTCCACCTGTATGCTGGCTGCCCTACTTCGGATCTCCAAGCTGCCTAACTGCGCGGGAGCATGGCGGGTCCTCATGTTCCTGCCACGTCTCACGCTAAGACTTAGCCGGAGATCCAGCTCTAGATGGAAACTGCTGCGGGAACAGATGCATCTATTCCGATGTGGCCACTGGACCCAGCTGTACACTGACTACTTGGGGTCAATGCACCTGGCCGAACCACCTCAGCACCAACGTGACCCACTGGGAATCTGCTCACGTGCGGAGGGGTTGGTGAAACGGGGTAACCTGCGAAAGGCGTTAGCAGCCCTACAACCCTCGCCTTCAGCACCTGCGACAATTGCGACACTACAGCAGCTGGAATCGAAACACCCCCAACCCCAAAATGACCTGCCCGAGTGGGTGCATTCCTACACCACACCCACGCAATTCTCAACCACTCTGGAACGCTTTTCCGACGTCCTTGGAGAATGCCCCAGGGGAATTGGGGCTGGCCCATCGGGGTCAACTTTCGAACACTACCGCGATCCAGCGCTAAGTAACATCGAGGTACTAGGGCACCTCCACTCCGCCGTTACGCATCTTCTCTCGACAAATCTTTCCACTGAAGTCGCAGCACTACTTGCCCCGTCCCGCCTTATAGCCTTCGCCACACCAGGGGGGGGGGTACGTCCCATTGCGATTGGAGAGTCATTGCTTAGGCTGGCGGCGAAGGTGGCGCTCTCAGATCTGCAAGGAGAAACGCGAAATTTTTTCCTACCTCAGCAATTTGGCGTGGCAGTCCCTGGAGGTGCAGAATTTGTCATCCATGCTGTCCGAGACCTCACCACGGTGCAGCCCTCCAGCCTAGTACTCCAGCTCGACATTGAGAACGCGTTCAACTCAGTAGAGAGGAGCGCGTTCTTCAACGCACTCATCGGCTCCCCACTAGCTCCCCTAATCCCCTTCACACGCTCTTTCTACGCAGCATCTTCACCACTGCTGCTGGACCCATGCTTCAATTCCACGGCACTCACCAGCGGAAGGGGAGCCAGACAGGGGGATCCCCTCGGACCTCTGTTATTCGCAGCGTCTATCCAGCAGCACCTCAGGCACGTAGCAACGGAGCACCTCGAAGTCACGGTCCTCGCTTACGCGGACGACATAACCATGATTGGACCCGCGGCGGCGACGCTGGAAGCGCTCAGGGAGCTCACGCCGCTGCTGGCACGGGACGGTCTCACCTGCAACTTTAGGAAGTCGTCGGCGTGGTCCACCGTGCCGCTAGGAGGGGACATACTCCCCGAGGGCCTTCCCCTCACCCGCGAGGGGGTGCGGGTGTTGGGAAGTCCAGTGGGGTCGCAGAGCTTCTGCTCTGATTTTGTCCGCAGCACCTTGACAGATGCGGCAGCCCCCTTGGGCTCTCTGGCGTCCATCCACCCACAACACGCCCTCCTGCTACTGTCTCGTTGCATCAGCCGCAGAGTCGGCTACTTGCTGCGCACTACCCCAGCTGACGTCTTACCACTCTCGGAATGGCACACATGGTGCGCCGAATTACTGAACACTGCCTTGACCGCCGCCAGCATTCAACCGCCACGCCGACAAGCCGAGTTCAACTTCCTTCTCCGACAGGCAACTCTCCCAGTAGCCCTAGGCGGACTGGGCCTTACGGACCCCACAACTGAAGCAGCACCGGCCTACCTAGCATCTACAACAGAGGCGCTGCGCCTGCTCCGCTCCCTGGACTTACCGGCAACCGCGCCGCTAGGGGCCGACAGCAACGCCCTGCAGCCGTCTGCAGCGCACTCCGTGACCATCCAGGACATGGAGGGGCGACTGCCACCGCTGGCGCTACAAAACCTACGGGAGGAGCAGCAAACCCCGTCCCAGGACCAGCTGCAGCGCGCCCTCTCCCAGGAAGTGCACGCGGCAAAGGCCGACGCCCTAAGAGAGGAGTCACGCGCAATACAGTCAGCCCCCGAGATGGGCCACACACTCCGCCTAGTCAGCCTGAGAGGAGAGGGAGCGGGAGCGTGGCTGCAGGCACTACCCTTGACCCCGGACCTCTGCTTCTCACCGGGACAGTTCCGAGCGGCCCTGGCCTTCCGCATGGGCATCCGACAGAATGTACCAACCGTGTGCGAGTGCGGAGAACTCGTAGCCGACTGCAGCCTACCCAACCACTTACTCCGCTGCAGCACTGGCCCCGACAGGACGCGCACACACAACCAGCTGGCCTTCGCCATGGCTAAAATGGCGAGGGAGGCGCAGCTGGTGGTATACCTGGAGAATGCGATGTACTCACCTCCGGATGACCCGAAGAAGGCAGATGTGATTGTACAAGACCCGGACAGCGGAGAGACCTGGATCACAGACACCACGATCACTGACCCTGTGCTGCAGAACCGAGACCCCACGGCCCGCAAACCCCCAGGCTGGGCTGCAAGGGAGGCACAGAAGCGGAAGGAGAGGGACTACTACCGACACACTGAACACGTGGTGTTCTGCGCCTTGGCCGTCGAGACCTATGGGGCAAACGCGCCCCCCACGACGGCGTTCCTGAAACTGCTGGCCACAGCAGCAGCTAGGAACCGCTTCAGGGCCAGCCCCTTGGCGAAATCCGCCAAGAAGATGGCCTGCCACTTCAGCCAGCGCTGGTCAGTGGCCCTCCAGCGCTCCCAGGCGAACGCCCTGCACACCAAGGCCAGGGCTGGGATTGAGGCAGCACACCCCCAGATGGCAGCGGACCCCTGGCCGCTGCACCTGGGGGACATCCTACACACGCTGGAGGGCTAGAGGGTCACTCAGGGGGGAGGGGAGGGGAAGAGGGGTGAGTTGATGGGCTTATGGGATAGAGGTTATCATGGATAGAACTGCATGTCTGTACCCCTGCTGAATTAATACAACGGACCATTTGAGGGAGAGGGAGAGGGAGAGGAAGAGGGAGAGGGAGAAGGCAAAGGACTACATGAGTCTTGACATCATGGTTGAACAAGACAGCCAGAAGTCGATTCTTCTGGGGAAGGTGAATTGTGAAGGGAGAGGAGCGTGAGGAGTGAAGAGTATGTGTATGTGGGTCAAAGGAAGGGAGACGGAGAAGGCAAAGGACTACATGAGTCTTGACATCATGGTTGAACGGGACAGCCAGAAGGCGATTCTGCCGGGGAAGGTGCAGAAAGAGTAGAGAGAGTGAGGGAGTGAGGGAATGAGGGAGTGAGGGAGCGAGGGAGTGGGGAAAGTGAGGACGGAGGAAAAGAGGGGCTACCGTGAGAGATGAGCATCATCATTGGCTGAGAGGGAGCGGGAACACCAGACCGTCATTTGGCTAAAGGTTACCATTACTAGTTGTGAGGCGCCTCGAAAGCCCTTGCACCTAGAGATTACCTAAATCTGCCCACTATCATCTCATCACAATACCACTATCATCTCATGCTCCCATCACATCCCTCCCTCACTACCCCAGCTGACGTCTTACCACTCTCGGAATGGCACACATGGTGCGCCGAATTACTGAACACTGCCTTGACCGCCGCCAGCATTCAACCGCCACGCCGACAAGCCGAGTTCAACTTCCTTCTCCGACAGGCAACTCTCCCAGTAGCCCTAGGCGGACTGGGCCTTACGGACCCCACAACTGAAGCAGCACCGGCCTACCTAGCATCTACAACAGAGGCGCTGCGCCTGCTCCACTCCCTGGACTTACCGGCAACCGCGCCGCTAGGGGCCGACAGCAACGCCCTGCAGCCGTCTGCAGCGCACTCCGTGACCATCCAGGACATGGAGGGGCGACTGCCACCGCTGGCGCTACAAAACCTACGGGAGGAGCAGCAAACCCCGTCCCAGGACCAGCTGCAGCGCGCCCTCTCCCAGGAAGTGCACGCGGCAAAGGCCGACGCCCTAAGAGAGGAGTCACGCGCAATACAGTCAGCCCCCGAGATGGGCCACACACTCCACCTAGTCAGCCTGAGAGGAGAGGGAGCGGGAGCGTGGCTGCAGGCACTACCCTTGACCCCGGACCTCTGCTTCTCACCGGGACAGTTCCGAGCGGCCCTGGCCTTCCGCATGGGCATCCGACAGAATGTACCAACCGTGTGCGAGTGCGGAGAACTCGTAGCCGACTGCAGCCTACCCAACCACTTACTCCGCTGCAGCACTGGCCCCGACAGGACGCGCACACACAACCAGCTGGCCTTCGCCATGGCTAAAATGGCGAGGGAGGCGCAGCTGGTGGTATACCTGGAGAATGCGATGTACTCACCTCCGGATGACCCGAAGAAGGCAGATGTGATTGTACAAGACCCGGACAGCGGAGAGACCTGGATCACAGACACCACGATCACTGACCCTGTGCTGCAGAACCGAGACCCCACGGCCCGCAAACCCCCAGGCTGGGCTGCAAGGGAGGCACAGAAGCGGAAGGAGAGGGACTACTACCGACACACTGAACACGTGGTGTTCTGCGCCCTGGCCGTCGAGACCTATGGGGCAAACGCGCCCCCCACGACGGCGTTCCTGAAACTGCTGGCCACAGCAGCAGCTAGGAACCGCTTCAGGGCCAGCCCCTTGGCGAAATCCGCCAAGAAGATGGCCTGCCACTTCAGCCAGCGCTGGTCAGTGGCCCTCCAGCGCTCCCAGGCGAACGCCCTGCACACCAAGGCCCCCGCCTCTCCCCCGCGTGCTTCCCCGTCCGCTCCGCGGGGTAGCTGCCACAGGTTCCGCCTGTTGCGCCTGGGAGATCGGCGTTGTCGGCTCCTCGTGTGCCAGTGGAGCGTCTTGAGCGTTGGCCAATGGATTTCCTTGGCGCTCTTGGCCGCGACTGCACCGCGGAGAGCGATCCTGCTCCCCGTCCGCTTCCTCCTGCACGCCCTGCCGCGAGCGTGCCTGTTGCTCCGCCGGCGTCCGCTGATCAGATCCGCCGCCGCTTCGAGGACCAGCGGCGCGAGTTGGCTCCGCGCGCGGGCAGGTCCTTGTCACCGCGGGAGCCCCCGCGCGCGGGGTCCGTCTTGCGCTCCGGCGCAGAGGCTGTGGCGCATCAGGAGCGTTCGCCTCGCCGTCGCTCATCGGCAGCTCGCGACGATAAGCGGGAGAGCCGCCGCGATGATCGTCACGGTACGGCCCGTTCGCCGCTGTCGCCTCGTCGCGTGGCGTCGCGAAGCCGATCCCGTGACCGCCGTTCGCATCGTCATCGTTCGCCCCCTCACAGTTCATCTCGCCAGCGGTCGCCTGCCCGCCAGACGTCTGGGCGTCGGCCCCCAGCTCCGCGTTCGCCCCCTCCTGCAAAGCGCCAACGGCTCTACTCCCCTCGTCGCGGGGACCGTTTTCCTGGCCGCCAGCGTCAGCAGGGCCCATCTCGCCCGCAGTCGCCTGTGCGCTCGAGCGCAAGTGGGCGTGCGCGTCGTGGGCGACGGGGGGGTGACAGTCGCGGCGGAAAAGCGTGTCCAGCGCCATCCGCAATGGAGCGCCGTCTTCTGGATAGGCTTGATGACGTGGAGAAGGAGCTTCGTCGCTCGCGTGCGGGGTCGGCGCCACCATCAGCTCCTCGCGCTGCTCCCGTCGTCCCTCTCTCTGCGCTCCTGCCCCACAATCCCTTTGGATCCCCGGCGCGTTCAGAGCGGCCGCTGCCTGCGGGGATGGGCTTCGTAGGTGCTGGTGGCGGGCCGCCGTGGGCTCAGTTTGCTCCGCCGCGTCCTCTTCCTGCTCCGCGTGATCTCGCCGTGTCGTCTCACCGTGCCCGCGCGTCTGCGTTACTTCCGCCGATGAAGGAAGTTCCCACGGCGACCCTGGCCCGCCTATGGTCGCTGGCGGCGTCCCTGCAGAGCCTTGAGCGGATTCTCCAGGAGTCATTTGACTCCATGCCGGTGAGCCCTCCGAGCAGGTTCTCTCAGAAACCGCGAGCAGATTGTCATGCGGCGGCGTCAGTGCTATTCGCGCTCGTAACGCCACTGCAGGTAGCGCCCTCGCCGGGAGCAACCTCGGCCAGCCAGCTGGCTGACTCGGCCCTGGCTCTGAGGACGCTTGTAGCAGGCCCTGGTACTCCTGTTGACGTTGTAGGCGCCACCGTGTCTGTGGTCCGCCAGTTGTGGTTGAACACGAGCGGAATGCTCGCTGCGGTAGAGGCGGACCGCATGTAGGCGCTCCCCCCTTGCGCGTATAGACCCGTTCCATCCTCTACTTGCTAAGTGTCTATGCTTGCTTTGTTTGTATCGGTTGCCTAAGCTACTACTGCTTGTTGTTTCCCCTTGCCATCCCTAACGCGCGGCCGAAGGCCGCGCACGCGAGCGCCGGCGGCCGAAGGCCGCCGGCGCGAAGCGCCAAAATTTTCAGCACTAACTCAAAGAATGAGAGATGGAGAGGCCGCCGTGGCCTTAAGTAGTCATGGCAGAGGGCAGAAAGCAGAGGGCAGAGGGTAGAAGGGGAGAGGCTAATCCTCTCTCTCTCTCGCTCTCTCGAACAACACCAAAATTTTCAGCACTAACTGAAAGAATGAGAGATGGAGAGGCCGCCGTGGCCTTAAGTAGTCATGGCAGAGGGCAGAAAGCAGAGGGCAGAGGGTAGAAGGGGAGAGGCTAATCCTCTCTCTCTCTCGCTCTCCCTCTCCCTCTTCCTCTCCCTCTTTATCTTCCTCTCCCTCTCCTTTGACCCACATACACGTACCTCTCACCCCTCGCTGCTCACGCCAACCCCCACTCCTCACCTTCCCCAGCAGAATCGCCTTCTGGCTGTCCTGCTCCACCATGATATCAAGGCTGATGTAGTCCTTTGCCTTCTCCCTCTCCCTGAACGCTCGCACTGTCACCTGCCATGCCATACGTGCCATTCCATGCCATGCCATAATAGGCATCACATCATGTCATCGATGTCATGCCATGCCATGCCATGCCATGCCATGCCATGCCACGCCACGCCATGCCAAAACAAAGTGACGCAGAAATTAAGTATGCATGCCATGCTCTTCCTGCCCCATGTCCCATGCCCCATGCCCCCCCCCCATCAGAATCCTCCCCGTCCCCTTCTCTGCAAAGACATACCTGCAAGGCGTACGGCACTTCCTGAGAGTACTGCAGCAGGAAGAGCCCTGACCCCACGCCTTCCCCCCCATCCCCACCCCATCCCCCATCCCCACCCCATCCCCCATCCCCACCCCATCCCCCATCCCCACCCCATCCCCCATCCCCACCCCATCCCCCATCCCCACCCCATCCCCCATCCCCACCCCAATCCCCCATCCCTCTCACCGCACCTGGGAAGCATACGGCACTTCTTGAGAGTACTGCAGCAGAATCTTCTCCCTCACTAACCCATGCACCATGCAGCCCACAACCCCATGCCCTTTCACAATGACCCACCCCCCTCCCTCCCACACACACACATACCTGGGAGGCGTACGGCACTTCCTGTGAGTACTGCAGCAGGATCTTCTCCCTCACTATCTCCGCCACAAAGAACCGCTCTGGTAGCTCGCTCACCACGTCCTGATGAGACGGGGAAGGGGTGGGGTGGGAGGGGGTGGCATGTGACATGGGAAGGGAAGGTGTGGGGTGCGGTGGACTCTTCTCCCTCACTATCTCCACCACGAAGAACCGCTCTGGCAGCTCGCTCACCACGTCCTGGGAGGGGTGGGGGGAATGGGTGGGGTGGTGGGGTGGGGAGGGGTGGGGTGCGGCATGGCATGGATGGGATGGCGTGGGTGTGGTATTCTGAAGAGCCACAAAGAACCGCTCTGGTAGCTCGCTCACCACGTCCTGGTGTGGGGGGGAAAGGGGTGGGGTGGGGTGCGACGAGGTTTGGATGGTATGGGATGGGAGGGTGTGTTATTCTCAGACGCCACGAAGAACCGCTCTGGAAGCTCGCAGACCACGTCCTGGTGTCGGGGGGAGTATGCATGGCATGGCATGGGGCGGTATGACATGGGAGGGATGGGGTTGGGTGGTGTGGCAAGCGGCTTTCAGTGGTGTGACTGTGGTATGCTGAGGCGCCACGTAGAACCGCTCTGGCAGCTCGCTCACCACGTCCTGGTGCGGGAGGTGGAAAGGGGTGGGGTGTGAGGGGGAAGGGATGGTGCGGGGTGCAACAGAGTATGAGATGGTATGGGTGTGTTTGTCAAAGCGCCACGAAGAACCGCTCTGGGAGTTTTTGAGAATTCTCAAAAACTCCCTGCACGAAGAACCGCTCTGGGAGTTTTTGAGAATTCTCAAAAACTCCCTGCACGAAGAACCGCTCTGGGAGTTTTTGAGAATTCTCAAAAACTCCCTGCACGAAGAACCGCTCTGGGAGTTTTTGAGAATTCTCAAAAACTCCCTGCACGAAGAACCGCTCTGGGAGCTCGCTCATGGTATGGTGTGGGATGGCATGATATGTGGTGGAGTGGTGTGGCATGTGGCTTGGCATGGGGTGGTGTGGCATGTGGCTTGGCACGGGGTGGTGTGGTGTGGCATGTGGCTTGGTATGTAGCATTACCTTGGCGGTAGTAAGCAGGTCCCAAGGCGATGTTGTCGAGCATCCATGCCAGCAGCCCATCCCCCAACCTCCCTTGAGCCTATTCTCCAAGCCTACTTCCCTCGAAGTTTAGTCAGCAGGCAGCTTGCGAATGGTCAACAGGCATTCACCTAGTGAGCACCCTAGTGAGCACCCTAGTGAGCACCCTAGTGAGCACCCTGCTGCCACGTAAAGTCATGGCACCTAATTGGGGCCCACTCGGACCCTAGTGAGCACCCTAGTGAGCACCCTGCTGCCACGTAAAGTCATGGCACCTAATTGGGGCCCACTCGGACCCTAGTGAGCACCCTAGTGAGCACCCTGCTGCCACGTAAAGTCATGGCACCTAATTGGGGCCCACTCGGACCCTAGTGAGCACCCTAGTGAGCAAGCAGGCAGAGTCACCTTAGGGTAGTATGCAGGGCCTTGGGGAATGTTGTCCAGCATCCACGCCAGCAGCCCATCCACCCCGTCGCCCCTCTTGGCACTCAGAGCGATCACCGTGTGCCCATCTGCTGCCACTTCCTCCTGGTACCACTGCCGTCACAGACACACAGGAGAGGAGAGAAGAGAAAGAGAAGAGGGAAAGGGACACTCATGACAATATCGATCTCCTGACCTCTTTGGCGATTCTCCTTACCTTTTTAACAACAACTTGCTCTAACTTTTAACCTTCTTACCGGCTTCTCCTACCTTGAGTTTCTTGGCGACTTCCCCCGGTTTGAGCGAGTCCTTCTTGTTCAGCACGATGAGAGTCGGCTTCTTCTGCACCACTGCACTCTCCATCCCCTCCAGTAGGAGCTTCGATACCTGCATAAGGAGCACAGAAAGGCAGAGGGCATGACCTGATTTCTCAAGTTTTGAGGGCCCATATGGACCATCAGTCAACATCCTCCGCAGACCACACATGCCCCATAATGAGGAAAGTAAAGTCAGATTTAATCTTCGTTCGAGGAAAGGCACAGTGCGCCTCTTTAGGCGCTTGGGTGCTGTTTATAACGAGGACAAAAGCGTCCGAATTGACGGTGGTGGTGCATGCCTTTCAGATGGCTGGACGCACCTCTTGCGGCGCCTGGGTGATGTCTATAACGAGGACAACAGCGTCCGCGTTGACTGTGGCTGTGCGCACGGCCTGCATCATGAGCTCGTCCAGTTTGTGCATTGACTTGGATAGTACCCCTGGTGTATCGTACAGAATGATCTGCAGAAGGAGGAGATGGAGGAAGAGGGAGATTCGGAAAGCCGCAGGGGTGGGGTGGGAAGGCACACGGTGTGATGAACTCATGGCATCAGGCACACGGCATCATGAGCTCGACCGGCTTGTGCATTGACTTGGAGAGAACCCTAGGCGTGTCGTACAGAATGATCTGAAAGGGGAAGGGGGGAGGGGGAAGCAAGCACGGCTACAAGGGAAGGAGGGAGGGACACAGAACAAGGGGGAGGCGGGGAGGCACTGCCTGTATCATGAGCTCGTCCAGCTTGTGCATTGCCTGCATCATGAGTTCGTTCATCCAGTTGGTGCATTGCCTTGGGGGGCACGCCCGGCGAAAAAAAGGTGTTTTTGAGACGTCTCAGAAAAGCTCATCGAGCTTGTGCATCGACTTGGAGAGCACGCCAGGCGTGTCGTACAGAATGATCTGCAGAAGGAGGAGAGGGAGGACGAGGGAGAGACGGAAAGCAGCAGGGGTGGGGTGGGGTGGGAGGGGAGGGCACACGGTGTGACGGCTTCTGCATCATGAGCTCATTGAGCTTGTGCATTGACTTGGAGAGAACCCCGGGCGTGTCGTACAGAATGATCTGCAGTGGCGACATGACAATGAAGGGGACACAAGGGAGGGAGGGACAAGCTTTTAGGCGCCTCAAAAAGCCTGCATCATGAGCTCGTCCAGCTTGTGCATTGACTTGGAGAGCACGCCAAGCATGTCGTACAGAACGATCTGCGAGCAACGGAGGGAGGAGGAAGGAGCGAAGCAGGGAGATTCGAATCGAATGCAATGAAGGGGAGCGAGCGAGGGACACAAGGCAGCGGCACAGCCTGCATGATCAGGAGGTCCGGCTAGTGCTGTGCTGTGGCTTGGAGAGCAAGAGCACCCCAAGATTTGAGGCGCCTCAAGGTGACTTTTGAGTCGGCTTGAGTAATTTTGGGGTGACTCAAAAGTCGGCTTGGAGAGCAAGAGCACCCCAAGATGACTTCTGAGTCGACTCAAAAGTCGGCTTGGAGAGCAAGAGCACCCCAAGATTTGAGGCGCCTCAAAAGGCGTCCTGTACAGAATGATCTGCGGCTTCCATGTGTGTGCTGTATGATCAGGAGGTCCGGCTAGTGCTGTGGCTTGGAGCGCACCCCAAGTTCTGAGGCGCCTCCAAACTCATATAGGAATAGCTGCAAATCCGGAATAGTACTTAGGCGAATTCTGAGGCGCCTCAAAAATGATGAGGAGGTCCGGCTAGTGCTGTGGCTTGGAGAGCACCCCAAGATTTGAGGCGCCTCAAAATACGCCTCAAAAGGCGTGCTGTTGTACAGAATGAATCTGCAGCTTCCATGTGTGTGCTGCCACAACCCCACGCTTAGAAAGGCCACAGCCCCTCCCCCACGCACCTGGTAGGCGGGTGCGGAGACGAGTCCCAGGATGCGGTGGCGGGTGGTCTGCGGCTTCTGCAGTTTGCGTGTGTGTGCTCCCATCCCACGCCCAATCATCCGGTACGCGTTACCGAACACCTCCCGCCCATCCCATCACGCACCTGGTACGCGGGCGCAGAGACGAGCCCCAGGATGCGGTGGCGGGTGGTCTGCGGCTTCTGAGTGACGATCGACAGCTTCTGCCCGATGAGGCGGTTCAGCAGCGTGCTCTTGCCCGCGTTGGGCTGGCCTATCAGCGCCACGTAGCCTGAGGGGGTGAGGAGCGGTGTTGAGAGGTGATGAGAGGTGATGACAGGTGAGGGGAGGTGAGGAGAGGTGAGGAGGGAAGGGGCACGGTGGGAGAACAAGGGGGCAGCGAAAGGAGGAGGAGGAGAGGGAGGAGGAGGAGGAGGAGGAGGAGGAGGAGGAGGAGGAGGAGGAGGAGGAGGAGGAGGAGGAGGAGGAGGAGGAGGAGGAGGAGGAAGAGGATGCATGAATATGTGCTTTCACCGATTAGCGTAGCTTCACATCACACACTACGTCTCAAACCCTCAGTCCTAAACCCACACACAAAAACCCCTTCAAGCCGTCCCAACAGCACATTGCCAACACTGCGGCTCGTCATAATGTCGATGGTCGTCCGGCATTTGGGGCACTAAATCGCCCCTTCCCCTCCCCTTCCCCTCCCCTACATTCCCCTACATTCCCCTACATTCCCCAACATTCCCCAACATTCCCCTACATTCCCCAACATTCCCCTACATTCCCCAACATTCCCCAACATTCCCCAACATTCCCCAACATTCCCCAACATTCCCCAACATTCCCCAACATTCCCCAACATTCCCCAACATTCCCCAACATTCCCCAACATTCCCCAACATTCCCCAACATTCCCCAACATTCCCCAACATTCCCCAACATTCCCCAACATTCCCCAACATTCCCCAACATTCCCCAACATTCCCCAACATTCCCCAACATTCCCCAACATTCCCCAACATTCCCCAACATTCCCCAACATTCCCCAACATTCCCCAACATTCCCCAACATTCCCCAACATTCCCCAACATTCCCCAACATTCCCCAACATTCCCCAACATTCCCCAACATTCCCCAACATTCCCCAACATTCCCCAACATTCCCCTACATTCCCCAACATTCCCCAACATTCCCCAACATTCCCCAACATTCCCCTACATTCCCCAACATTCCCCAACATTCCCCAACATTCCCCAACATTCCCCAACATTCCCCAACATTCCCCAACATTCCCCAACATTCCCCAACATTCCCCAACATTCCCCAACATTCCCCAACATTCCCAACATTCCCCAACATTCCCCAACATTCCCCATTCCCCAACATTCCCCAACATTCCCCAACATTCCCCAACATTCCCCAACATTCCCCAACATTCCCCAACATTCCCCAACATTCCCCAACATTCCCCAACATTCCCCAACATTCCCCAACATTCCCCAACATTCCCCAACATTCCCCAACATTCCCCTACATTCCCCAACATTCCCCAACATTCCCCAACATTCCCCAACATTCCCCAACATTCCCCAACATTCCCCTACATTCCCCAACATTCCCCAACATTCCCCAACATTCCCCAACATGCCCCAACATTCCCCAACATTCCCCAACATTCCCCAACATTCCCCAACATTCCCCAACATTCCCCAACATTCCCCAACATTCCCCTACATTCCCCAACATTCCCCTACATTCCCCTACATTCCCCCTCAACCCCATTACCCCGTCCGTGTCTCTCCCCTTGCCTTTCCCCCTGCCTACCGCTCTTATGGTCGTCCGGCACTATAGGTACTATTCGTCTGGGCGGCCCCGTTAGTAGCTGATCCACTGCCGCGGCTTGCGCGCTCGTCTGCGCGCTTGATCGTTTCCCCTCGGACGCGCCGCTCCCGGCGCCAATCGCGGAGGACGCCCCAGCTTCTAAAGCGTCCTGCGTAGCGGTTGCTACATCATCTGCTGCTGCGGCAGCGGCGGCGGCGGCAGCAGCAGCGGAAGCGGCGGCGGCGGCGGCGGAGGCGCGCGAATCGTGGCGCAGCACCTTCGCGACGTCTGGCGATTGTCGCGGGTTCGTGAAAATGAAAACGGGCTCGTCTGAATCGTCGGATGATCCGGCCCCAGCAGCAGCAGCCGCTACCGTTACTGCATTGCGTTTTCCGTCGCGTCGGGAATGCGTAGAAGATTTTCGTCTTTGCGACGTTGGCGGTGTCTGCAAGCCCTTTGCCGAAAACTCGTTTTGCGAACTAGTCCAAGCGCGACACGAGGTTGTCGAGGTTCGCAGCCGGTCGGAGCGAAATGGTAACCCTACGATGCGTCCATCGCTGATCGTATCGCCAGAAAGGGTAACGCTCGGTGAAACGGATGATGATGCTTTCGACACGTCAGACTGAAGCGGAGATCCGCATGACACGTCAGATTTATGACGAGACGATATTCCCGGAGGAAGCGACGACGACACGCCGGTAGCAGCAAGACCTAGCATTTCGGCTCGCCCGGCGCTTGACCAGGATAACTAACGAATGCGCCTTGCTTCTTAGTTTCTCCTGGGACCTAGGACTAGAACCAGTGCTGGTCCCTTAGCTAAGGACTCCAGCTTTGCATCTTCTATGGTGAGAGAACATGTCGCTGCATCCGCGTTAAAAGCAGTGTCTTTCCCAGTTATACTGCTTTTACGCTGTATGCCTTTAGAGTAACCAGTTTGATTCACGGAGAAGAGACATGCAAAAGGCCATTTCTGAAACGCTGGAATGCGAAATCACTCGTCACCAGTGTTGCCGCTGGTCGCTTGCCTGCGCTGAAGATGGTTGGCTGCGACGATGTGACTGTCAGTCACCAATGTCGATTGATTTCGCACATGCTCCTCGTCAGCAATCAAATCACGAAAACCCAAAGCTGCGACAACTCTCCATCCTGTAGTCGGCAACCGTCTCCTTGCCGCTCAGCCGTCGCTGTTCGAAGTTGTGCCACGTGTACTTCACATCCCAACGGGTACAGTGCATCGACGGTCAGAATGTAGAGCCACCTCAGCACGAGCTTTCAAGCCGCGACTGAATCGCGTCGTGATTACGCAAAATGTCGAGTCGCATTTCGCGCAAAATGTCTCAAATTGCACATTTGTCAACAGACGTTGGGAGTGGGATTTCTTTCACCGAACAAATGACGAGTTTGAAAATTCGCCCGCATCATCTCGAACGTTCCCCTCCTTCCCACCAACTCCGATAGGCCACTACAGTTTATCCTCTTACCGTACTTTACCACCCTAAACCACCTAACCATGTGTTTCTCCCGATCTGCTTTCACGCTTCTTTGTCATCACCGTTCAGTAGTTTTCTTTATTCGCGCCCAAGTTTGCCTCAATGCTTCCACGATTTGCGCAGGTCGAGCGAATCTCACCCAGTCAGACAGTTGATTGCTGCCGAGTAAACGACAGCACCCAGCACGCAGCGCACGATTCGATGTAGTCGTTGCATCGCAGCGCAGCACACCACGCCACACGCCCCGTCTATCCCACCCACGCCACTAGCACCATTGCCCAAACCCACTGCACTCCTCCAATGGTCAACACAGGGCAATACTTGCCGTAAGCCTTAGCGCTTTAGAATGCTCTAGCTGTCACCATAGGTTATCACTCGCCGCTTGTACAGTGACGCCTTGGGAATAATCGCCTTGTAGTAGTTCATCTCTTCGCGGCGACGCCACACCGCTGAGTGAGAGCAGTGCGCTTAGCAGAAGCTTCTGAGACTGCTTATGACCACCAGGAGCATAGTTCTACACGGCCTGGTGCAGGTCAGATAGCGAGCAAGAAGATCTGCTTACTGCCCGGCGTGCTCTCTTAACTTGAGCCAGAGCGAATACCGCGCGAACGGGCTGACTGCGAGTCTTCACTAGCCAGAGTGTTGAAATCACTTTTGAGAATTCTCAAGAGTGGCTACCGCCCTAAGACTTGCTTCGCTTACAGCTATGGGACGTCATGTGACTATTAGCGATCGAACCTAGGCTTTAGCCGGTATGCCTTTGCGACGCGACCGCGGAGAAAGCCGTTCCGACTCAATTTTAAAATAGACGGCGCTCAAACTGGATACCGTCGATTCAATCAAATCGCGCAGACATGAAGACGCTTCGAAGCTTGGTCGCGGCGCTAATACTATCGTGTATTTGCATCCTATTTCTCCTACCCTCCTACTCCTTAGCCACGTCAGATGACCTCCTCCCGGATATTCCGCGGCCACGTGGCAGCAGAGGAAGGCCGAAGCTCTTTAAGATTCGAATACGATCGACCAACAAACTGCCCTTCGCTTCTACCTCCTCCTCCTCCTCGTCCTTTTATTCCTCAAAAGTTTCGCGCTTCGCGAATCCCGGTGGTGCCAACAGGGGGATCGGCCGTTTCCCGCTGCCCTCCTTTCTCGCCGCATCTTCCGCCGCAACCTCCGCCGTTTCCTCCGCCGTCTCGTCCCTCCGCCGCGCCCTCTTCAGCCGCCGAACGGCTGCACAAACCGACGCCGAACCTTCCAAGAAACAGGGCGGCCATCCGAACCTAGGCCACCACCATCGGATCACCACAACCACCAGATCAACGGCGGAGATCGACCCAGGAGCCGACACCACCACCAGCGAGCCGCAGGGTTTCGGCATTCCCAAGGTTTTCGACATTCCCAAGGGAATGCACGGGCCGTTCACAGGGCACCACCCGCGCCTCGGCCACCACACCGCCTCCGTAGGCCACCACTGGTTCGACGGCGGCCGCCATGCGGCGGCGGGCGCCGCCAGCGCGGGCGGGCGAGCGCCGTTTGGCGGAGGGCACCATCCGCGGAAGGCGGATGGGACGTATTTGTTCGGGCATCATCCGTCGGGAGTGGGGCATCATTTAAAGCGCGGGCAGAAGTGCTTGGGTAACCAGACCGTTTGTCTCATCTTCGCTAAGGAGAACCCCGGTTTCGACGTCTGCTGCGGGTAAGACACCCCCCCTCTCCCTTCCCCCTCTCCCCTCCCTCCTCTCCCTCATTTCCCTCCTCTCCCTCATTTCCCTCCCCTCCCCCCACCTCCCTCCCGTTGCATCAATCGCGCCTGCAATCTCTGCAGCGACTGCCTCACTGCGTGTCCGCCGTTCACCCTTCTCTCTTTTTCCCTTTCCTCCTTCTCCCTCCACTTCTTCCCCCATCCCTCCCTTTTCCGCCTGCCGTTGCTTCAGGCGCGCGTGTCGCAATCTCTGCATCGACGTGTTTCACTGCGACAACTTTCGAGACGTCTCAAAAGTCTCTTCAGGCGCGCGTGTAGCAATCGCTGCATCGACGTGTTTCACTGCGACAACTGCCTCACGGCGTGTCCTTCTGTCCTCTCCCTCCTTCCCTCTTTTCCCCCTCCTTCTCGTTTTTCCCCCCACCAGGCGCGCGTGCCGCAACCTGCGCAGCGACGTGTTTCACTGCAGCAACTGCCTCACGGCGTGTCCTTCCCTCTCCCCTTCCCCCTTTCTCTCCCTTGTCCTTCTTCCCCTTTCGCTCCCCCCCCCCTCCCCAGGCGTGCGTGCCGCAACCTGCGCAGCGACGTGTTTCACTGCGGCAACTGCCTCACGGCGTGTCCGACAGGCCACCAGTGCTGCGACGGCGCGTGCGTCAGCACCATGGACGATCCACGTCACTGCGGCGGCTGCTACAACACGTGTCCTGCTGACGCGGCGTGCCAGCTAGGAATGTGCGGATACGGCAGCAGCAGCAGCAGCGGCGGCAGTGGTGGTTCTCGCGGCAGTAGTGGGGATGGTAAAGGAGGGTCTACTGCTAACGTTGAGGCTAGAGGCCGCTATAACGGTGCTGGCGGATTCAGCAGTACCACCAGTGGCGGCTGGGGCAGCGGCAGCAGCAGCAGCAGCGGCAGCGGCAGCAGCAGCAGTGAGTATGGTGACTTTAAGGTTGCTGACAAGCCTGGTGGTTCTGCCAGGGGCAGCAGCGATAGTGGTGGTGATGGTGGTGATGCGAGTGGTGCTGCTGATGGTGCCACTGGTGGTGGCAGTAAACGGAGCAGCGCTGATGCTGCTGATTCCGAGGGTGCCACTTTTAAGAGTGGTTACAAGAGTGACGGCAGGCTTGGCACTGTTGACGCGCAGAGCAGCACCGGCACCACCAATTTCAACACCAGCGGCGGCAACAGTAACAGCAGCAGTCACAGTGGCAGTGGCAGTGGCAGTGACAGTGGCAGTGGCAAGACAGGGGAAGGAGGAGAGGGGGGAGGAGAGGGGAAAGAGGGTGGAGAGGAGGAAGGGGGAGAAGCAACAGGAACAGAGAAATCAGGAGAAAGTTCAGAAGAGAATACAGGGGAGGAGTCAGGTGAAAAGCCAGAAAAGAGCGGTGACTCTAGCGAGCACACGAGCGCGCTTTGGCCCGAGCTGGATGAGGCTTCAGGTGGGGCGTCAGGGGAATCCGCGGCGTCAGGTGAAAATTCAGGTGAAAGTTCAGGTGGAGCAGATGACTCGGGGGAAACTTCAGAGGGTGATGATGCGAAGGAGAAATCAGGATCAGGGGAGGGGGGTGAGGAGGGGAGCGGGAGGGAGAGTGAAGAGGAGAAGGGGAAGGATGCATGGAAGGAGCATGTGGGAGGGAGAGTGGTGGATCTCGATGAGTGGCAGAGAGGGGTGCAGGAGAGCAGCTATCACCTGAAGATGACGAAAGGGGTCCAGGAGGGCAAGGGGAAGGCCACTGAAGGGCACGGGCACTCACATGCAAGCAGTGAGGGTGGTAAGGGCGGCAAGGGCAAAGACAGCAGCAGCAGCAGCGGCGGCAGCAGCAGCAGCAGCAGCAAGGGAGGGGTGCAGGAGAGCAGCTATCGTGTGGAGGTGACCCAGGAAGGCAAGGGGAAGGCGAATGAAGGGCGAGGGCACTCACACGCAAGCAGCGAGGGTGGCAAGGGCGGCAAGGGCGACAATGGTGGCACCAGCACAAGTGGTGGCAGTAGTGGTGGGAACGGCAGCATCGAAGGGGGGAATAACGTGTTTAAGGTGAACACAGAACGCAAGGAGAAGAGCAGTGGTGGTGCTGGGGCAGGGCATGAGGCGCAGAGCAGCGCCGGTAGTGGTGGTAGTGAGGCAGGGCATGAAACGCGGAGTATCCCTGGTGGTGGTGGGCATGATGGGAGTGGCGGTGGCGGAGGGGAGAGGACGAAAATCGAACAGCAACAGCAGCAAGCGGGAGATAAGGAGCAGGAGGGAAGGCAGCAGCAGCAGCAGCAGCAGCAGCAGCAGGCGCAAGAGCAAGGACAGGAAGAGGAAGGGGGAAAGCAGCAGCAGGAACAGCAGCGGAGCGTGAGGTTTGAGGACGAGTGGCAGCAGCTGCTGTCAGTGGCAGATAGCAGCAGACTCGCCACCCACACTGCTGCTGCAGTCCATGCCGGCACAGGGGTCAGCAAGAGTGACGGCAGAACTGGTGGCAGCAGCAGTGGAACCCACGCTGCTGCTGCCCATGCTGGCACGGGTGGGAGTGGCGGTGACAGCAGCGATGGCAACAGTGGTGGCAACGGCGGTGGTGGCACTAGTCACAGTCCTGACCCTGATGACGGTAGTGGTGCTGGGGGGAAAGGAGAGGGTAGAAAAGGGCGGAGTGTGGTAAAGAGAGGTGGAGAGGTCAAGGAGGGGTGGACGCCTATATCTGCGTTGATCGCCATGCAGAGGCGCATAGAGGCGGGCATGGCGTGGCAAGGAGCGGATGGGGACCGTGCTGCTGGTCACGGTGCTGCTGCTGCTGGCAAGGGTGGTGGAGGTGATGCTACTGCTGGGGGTGATGGTGGTACTGCTGAGTGGTTGGGAGTCCACAGCAGCGGAAGGCAGCACGCAGGACAGCATCAGGCGGGGCATGCAAGGCATGGTTGATGTTGGTGGATCTGACGGCCAGCAGCACCCCAAGCCTGCACGGTAAGTCTTCGATTGTTAATGTCCATCTGCATGTGCATGTGCATAAAAGTCTGCCTCTTGTTCTCTCTTCCCTGCAACGACATCTTTTCCCTCGCGCCGCTACATCCAGCACCATACTCGGCTTTTTTCTTATCACTCTTGAGCATTCTAAAAAATGTGACTCAGATATAGCCGTCCTCGGATTTGTTGTTGTGCTGTTGCTGCTACCCTCCCTTTCCCTTCGTTTCCCTGCTTCATTGCTCTCCCCATTGCTCCCTCATGTGCTCAGCTCTTCACTTTATTCCCCTTGTCCCTCTTTCCTGTTTCCCCTTACCAGATTCCACCCACCCACACCCACCCACACCTACCCGCACCCGCCCGCACCCATGCACACCCACATACAAACACGTCTATACGTCAGAAGAGCTGAAGGCTAATGACGGGTGATACTATGCCATGGATTGAGAGTCAGAGAGGGTTTGGCATTCTCCTGTACTCCACATAGTGGCCCTTAATATATGTTCAACTGTTAGATCGCAACCATGTAGCCGTGGTTCTGTAGTAGCTAATGCTAACTTGCTAATTTAGTATAATGCCAAACTGTGTACTGTCTCGCTGCACTGTACTCGTCACCAGCTCTTAAGCACATTACATTCGGCCACTGTCATTTGGGTCTTTGGTACATTCGGGTCATTCTGCCACAGACTGTGAAAATTATATCTGTTGTACCAGAATGTCTATGCCACTGAGAAACACTGCACTACAAATATTTATCAGGTACACCACCATTGCGGAATAACACTACACATCCTGGTTAACTGCAGCTGCAAGGAGGTTGTTCTTAACGAGGACAGCAAACTGGGCCATCTGAGCAGGGGAGTAGAGCGGGGTAGGGTACACCAGCAGCAGCTGCAGCGCCCCATCCTGCACAAGGAGGTGAGTCCAGCAAATACATTTTGAGAGGAGAAACCCACAAACAGGGTGTCCTTTTTAGGCACCCCAACAAGGAAGACGGGGGAAGAACGAGCAACATGCATGGTGCGCACAAACAAACAAAGGAGCCCTGAGGGCATGGGCAGCGCAAGCTGATGAAAAAGGCATGCCAATGCAGGGCCCAATGCCATGACTGGCCACCAGAGGCCCCATCACCTCGTCCAGCTGCAGCAGAGCCAGGTCCCCCCCACCAGCAGCGGCACTGGCACTGTGATGGGTATGAGCAAAAAACAGCCGCCTGTAGCGATTCGTACCTTGATAAAGTCGGGCATGCCAATGCAGGGGCCGATGCCGTGACTCGCCACCAGAGGCCCCATCACCCCGTCCAGCTGCAGCAGAGCCAGGTCACCGGTACCATTAGTGGCGCCGTTGGTAGCGCCGTTGGTAGCGCCGTTGGTAGCGCCGTTACTAGTGCCGTGTGTGGTGGTGAGGTCGAGGGGGAGAGGGCCGTCGGTGAAGGCAGTGAGGAAGGAGGTGCGCAGGGAGTGCTCTGGGCTCAGGGAGGGCGTGTTGAGCACCTGGGGGAAGGGAGGGAGGGGGGGGGGGGTGGGAGAGAGGACAGTGGTTAGTGGTACTACTGTGTGGTGCAGTGACGTCGAGAGAGAGTGGGCCATCAGTGAAGGCAGTGAGGAAGGAGGTGCGGAGGGAGTGCTCTGGGCTGAGGGAGGGCGTGTTGAGCACCTGTGGTGGGCCGGTATTGGGGCGAGGATAGTCATGAGGAAGAGGACGGAAACAGAAGCAGAAGATGCAGTGGAACCAAAGGATTACGTCGGGTGGGCTGCGTCAGTGCAAGGCTTAAAAACCACAATTGGAAGTTTTTGTTGCTGTTGTTCACAACAAAATATCACTCACCGTGCCAAACAGCATCTCCAGCACGGGCAGCTCCGAGAAATGTTTTCCCTTGCTGACCGCAGTGGCCACCTGCTGCGTGAGCTGCCCGGCGATGCCCCACAATGAGGAGGCGTGCGAGCAGGAGTGCTTTAGGGGCAGACCCGAGTCAAACACCCCGATGGCCACGGGGGGGAGAGGGGGGTCGCAGTACTGACGACAGTCAATGAGGCTGTTGGGATGGTAGAGGAGGCAGAGAAAGGAGGGAAGGAGGTAGAGGGAAAAGGAAAGGAGTGGTTGAGAGGCAAACCCAAAACACCCTGTCTTGAGCGCAGCTGCACACTGCACGCCGTACAGATGATGCTGTGCTCTGAAGTGCAGTACTGTGAGGTGCTGCCAAGTACTGTGAGGTGCTGCCAAGTGCTGTGAGGTGCTGCCAAGTGCTGTGAGGTGCTGCCAAGTGCTGTGAGGTGCTGCCAAGTGCTGTGAGGTGCTGCCAAGTGCTGTGAGGTTGTGCTGTGAGGTGGTGCTGTGAGGTGGTGCTGTGAGGTGGTGCTGTGAGGTGGTGCTGTGAGGTGGTGCTGTGTTGGTGCACGCCAGGTACCCACCTGGTGACCCCAAACGACTCGTCCTTCTTCAGCTTCAGCTCCTCTGCAGCTGCCTTGAGCACTGAAGCACACTGCACTCCGTACAGCGAGCTGCCCCTCGCCTCACAGGCCGCCTTGAGGGCATCGGTCTCTGAATGGACACAGGTGGCGGGTTAAGAAGAGAGGGGATAGACAAGGGGAATAATGAATCAGCGCAGGCGAGCTGGAAGGAAGGGCAGCAAGGCGGAGTGCAAGTAGGCAGCAAGCTCCCCTATGACAAAACCCAACCTACGGCACACCCCACCCTGTAACCTTGGCTGCAAAGTTTTGAGGAGGCTGTGCTAGTATTGGGGCGGAAGGTGGCAAGGGGAAAGGGGGCTGGTCCTCGTATGGAAGGCAGAATGGCGCCACCAGGCCAGGTGGCGCTCTGTGCTCTTCAAGCATGAAAGGAATGAAGGGCAGCATGGCGGAGTGCGAGGAGGGGGCATATCCCACCTTGTAGCAAACATATTCACCCACCCACGCACCCACCCACCCACCCACCCACCCATCGACGCGGCCACCCACCTTGCTTCGGGAGATGGATGGGGATGATCTCGGAGCGGAAATGGCTCTTGCGGGAGGATCTCTTGCGGGAGGATCTCTTGCGGGAGGATCTCTTGCGGGAGGATCTCTTGCGGGAGGATCTCTTGCGGGAGGATCTCTTGCGGGAGGATCTCTTGCGGGAGGATCTCTTGCGGGAGGATCTCTTGCGGGAGGATCTCTTGCGGGAGGATCTCTTGCGGGAGGATCTCTTGCGGGAGGATCTCTTGCGGGAGGATCTCTTGCGGGAGGATCTCTTGCGGGAGGATCTCTTGCGGGAGGATCTCTTGCGGGAGGATCTCTTGCGGGAGGATCTCTTGCGGGAGGATCTCTTGCGGGAGGATCTCTTGCGGGAGGATCTCTTGCGGGAGGATCTCTTGCGGGAGGATCTCTTGCGGGAGGATCTCTTGCGGGAGGATCTCTTGCGGGAGGATCTCTTGCGGGAGGATCTCTTGCGGGAGGATCTCTTGCGGGAGGATCTCTTGCGGGAGGATCTCTTGCGGGAGGATCTCTTGCGGGAGGATCTCTTGCGGGAGGATCTCTTGCGGGAGGATCTCTTGCGGGAGGATCTCTTGCGGGAGGATCTCTTGCGGGAGGATCTCTTGCGGGAGGATCTCTTGCGGGAGGATCTCTTGCGGGAGGATCTCTTGCGGGAGGATCTCTTGCGGGAGGATCTCTTGCGGGAGGATCTCTTGCGGGAGGATCTCTTGCGGGAGGATCTCTTGCGGGAGGATCCCTCCAACCCACCCACCCACCCAACCCACCCACCCACGCACCCACCTTGCTGGGAGAGGTGGATAGGAAGGATCTCGGAGCGGAAGTGGTTCTTGCGGGAATCAGCACAGCCGGGCTGGAAGGGCAGCATGGCGGATTTCGATGAAGCGGCATACCCTACGGTGTCCACCATCTTGGTGAAAAATCCCTTCGCCTGCGCGCCCTTGGGCATGAGGGACGCGAGAGAGGGGGGCAGCGACACCCCCGTGCTAGGCCTGGGGGGGAGAGAGAGGGGGGAGGAGCAGGGGAACCAGGAGGGGCAGGGGGGGAAGAGGGGGACAGGGGGAGCAGTGGGGAGAAGGGAAGAAGTGACGGTGGCTGGAAGGGCAGCATGTGGGAGTGCGAGGAGGCGGCATACCCCACCGCGTCCACCATCTTGGTGAAGAATCCTTTGGCCTGTGCGCCCTTGGGCATCAAGGACGCGAGAGAAGGGGGCAGCGACACCCCCGTGCTAGGCCTGGGGGGGTGGGGGAGGGAAGGTAGCAACATGTGGGAGTGCGATGAAGCTGCATACCCCACTGCGTCCACCATCTTGGTGAAAAAGCCCTTCGCCTGCGCTCCCTTGGGCATGAACTATGCGAGAGAAGGAGGGAGAGAGACTCCTGTGGTGGGCCTGGAGGGGAGAAAGGAAATCAAGGGGAAGAGGGGGAGCAGGGGGACGAGAGGAAACAAGGGGAAGCAGGGGAGCAGTGGGAAGTGGGGGACCGACGGGAGCAGGTAACAGGGGAGCAGGGGGGGCAGGAGGGGGAGCAAGGGGAGCAGATTAGTAGAAGCAGGGGTGTTGAGAACAGGGCAGATTGGTTTGTGCAGTGAGGGGAGGGGCGTACAGGCTGGTGACGCCGGGGCAGAGCAGGCGAGCACAACCGCAAGGGCAGAGAGGAGTGAGGGAAAGAGTGGAGGGAGCAGACGGAGAAACGAGAGAGGGAGAAGGCATGAGGCATACAGGCTGTGCAGTGAGGGGCGTACTAGGCTGGTGAAGAAGGGGTGTACCAGGCTGGTGAAGAAGGGGCAGAGCCAGCGAGCACAGCCGCGAGGGCGGAGAGGAAGGCGCGGGCGACAGAGAGAGCAGAGGAGCGATCAAAGGCTGCACAGTGGCCCCTCAGAACGATACACGTGACGAGCTCAGAGGGGTACACGTGGACCTGTGGCAGGAGAGGGGAAAGGAGGGAGCAGGGTAGGCGAGGGGAGCAGGGTAGGCGAGGGAAGCAGGGTAGGTGAGGGGAGCAGGGGAGGCGAGGGGAGCAGGGGAGGCGAGGGGAGCAGGGGAGGGGTGGGGAGGACAGGGTGCTGACGAGTAAGAAAGGAGGAAAGTCCGAGAGGAAGTGAGCTCCTACATTAGAAAGCGAGTGAGAAAGTTGGCGTTGAGCGAGCTCTCACTAGCGCCCAGCGTACGCCTCATCATGGGCGCGTGACGCGTCCACCCCTCCTACCTTACAGCCGTCTCACCTGGAACACGTCAGTCTGCTCCTCATCCTTCTCCCCCACCGCAGCCATAAGTGTGTTCATCTCTGCTTGCATGAGCAGCATCAGCGCCTCCTCCGACTCACTAGCGCCCACTCACTACCGCTGAGATACATCGCTGTCAATGGTCATTCACCTGGAGCACATCGCTGTCAATGGTCATTCACCTGGAGCACATCGCTGTCAATGGTCATTCACCTGGAGCACATCGCTGTCAATGGTCAATGGTCATTCACCTGGAGCACATCGCTGTCAATGGTCATTCACCTGGAGCACATCGCTGTCAATGGTCATTCACCTGGAGCACATCGCTGTCAATGGTCAATGGTCATTCACCTGGAGCACATCGGTCGGCTCTTCATCCTTCTCCCCAACCACTGCAGCCATGGGCGTGTTCATCTCTGCTTGCGTGAGCAGCCTCAGCGCCTCCTCCAACTCACTGGCGCGCCCAGCGTGCTCGCCCCATCAACGCCCAGCACGTCGTGCCACGAGTATGCAATGCAGCCACGGGGACAGCGTGGGGAGCATCCCCAAGGCATTACCATTGACATCCAGAAAGCCTCTCACCTGGAACACATCAGTCGGCTCTTCATCCTTCTCTGTCCCCACCACAGCGGCGGACATAGGCATGTTCATCTCCGCCTGAGTCAGCAGCCTCAGCGCCTCCTCCGACTCGCTAGCGCCCAGCGTGCTCGCCCCATCAACGCCCAGCACGTCGTGCCACGAGCGCGCAGCAACAGTGACAGCGGGGGGAGCATCAGCCGGCACGTTTAGCTCCCAGCGGGGTTTGGGCTTTTGCACCCTCACGATCCTGGCCGCCAGGATGGGGTGCTGGGACGCGGCCAGAGCAGCTGCCGTTTTCACCTGGCGGTGGGGGGAGGGATATGAGGGGAGGGGATGTGAGACACAGCAGGGGGAGCGTCCCCAGGCACGCGGAGCTCCCAGTGGGGTTTGGGTTTTTGCACCCTCACGATCCTGGCCGCCAGGATGGGGTGCTGGGACGCGGCCAGTGCAGCTGCCGTTTTCACCTGGTAGGGGGGAGTGAACGTCAGTAATGCATGATTCCGCAGCATGGTTTTGCAGAGCTTTCGCGGCGCTTTGTATCTCGAATTCGGGGTGAAATAAAGACATGTCGGTGGGCGAAAAATACAAAGAGGAGGCGACAGCGTCCAGCACACCTGGTCCAGCGAAATGGTTCGCGAAAAGCGCAGCGTGGTAACACTCAGTCCCGTGCCCGTCTTGCTCGCCCGCTGCCACAGCTCCTCGTTGCTCGCGAGCGCGCGGGAAGCCATTGAAATGCGTTTGGAAACGATTCGTAACAAGGAGGTAGTTGTGGACGGTAAGATAGCAGAAGGTCTTTAAACGGAGCGAATTAATGATAGGCGAGAGTTGCAGGACAATTCGCGAATTTTATATCTCCAGTCTAGCGGGATCCGCGGCTGACGCTGGGCATTGGAAGAGCAGACGAGGTCTGCGGAGGCGGCACGTCAGCGCGACTCGTGATGATCCATAGTGCCGGCTGTGCGGGTGACGGTGTGGCAGCATCTTGACGCGACAGGATTTGACGTCGTGAGATTGACGTTGCGAAACGGACGAGGTACGAATGACGTCGTCAAACCGCGCTCCCGAGAGTTCGTAGAGGAGGGACGTTGACAGTTGGACAGGAAAGCGCCGTCTCGGGAGGTTGGTTTTAACCAGGGTCCACAGGTTTCAAAGGTAGGACGGCTAGTTAGAGGCGAGTGCCTTGATTCGACCGCGACCTCAACAAGTGCCGAGAATGGGACGTGACGTGTGACGGCCGCAAAAAGGCGGCTGAAAGGAAACGGGAGACCGAGGAGGGAATGTGTGGAGCGTCCCTCTTGCTGCCGTCATCAGAGCTTCTTCATGGTCCTATCATGGGTTCTAGTTCTTGTATGAGGTTTACAGAAAGGTGAAAGCATTTCAGAGTGGTGAGGAATGTTAACCACTCTACAGCGCACACCATCCCATCCCACCCGACCCGTTTGTTCTGATTTGGTCAGGGCGACGTCACCTTGTACATTTCTCACACATCGTGGCCCAGAACGGTTAAATACGGTGAAAAGCGGTTTTCTATGTTCATAGCTCTGCATGCACTGCAGCGGGCGCACAAAAAAGTTGTACAACCTGACGTCCCGGGAAGTCTGTGATCCCTTATTATATGACCTTGTATTGAGATTAGCACTTATGTGCTATATTTGGATTATATCTTGGAGCTGACAGCATAAAGAAGGCGCCCGCAGATACCGTATCACTCAGAGCCCGTGCGTTTTGCAGCTACAGTTCCAATTCAAAATTACAGTGCTCTGACAATCTCGGTGGCCTGGCCCGGGTGGCAGTTTGCTGGGGTGCGCAAAAAAAGGCGCGTACTTTTGAACCGACTACGTCGCGCGCCCCTGAAGCTCTCATGTGCCGCGCCACGGCCATTTTCCCTCCATCCAAACCACGAATTGAAGAATCTTTTGACCAAAGCTCCCTCCATTTGCAGCTGAGCTGCCCGAGGTTTGGACGGAACAGAACCCATACCATATCGTCCGTAGGCAGTTCCCGTCCCGTCGTTGCGTCCGTCAGTTTCGCAAACGGAGCAAATATAACTGCAGTTTCTGGAAACTGAAGCCACGGGACTGGACGACAGCTTTGTAGGGGCGCCGACGCCGTCGGAACCCGTGCTGTCCGTTCCGTACGATTTGGCTCGACGGAGGCTATCGGAGCTCCGGCTAGAGAGCTTCCCCAGTTCACTCTTCTTGGGAGTGTCTTCGTTCCCCTCGCGCCGCACCGCCTGTAGGATTCGCCATGTGCCTTGGGATTGTCTTTCCGTAATTTGTGGTATGCGCCAAACCGAGCCACCAGCGCGATTTGTTCGCTCATTCAGTGCACAGGGATTGCTAGGAGTTTACTGAGGGCCTCCTCTTAGACTTTGCCATAGAGTCTGGCAGGACGGAACACACACTTTGGTCGCCTTTGTTTGCTCGGATGGCTTTTGACAGGATGACGATTTCTGTTAGTAACCCGACGGAGAAAGCAGTACTATTGTCAAGCACGCATTAGCAGTTGTAAAGGGAGCTAGGCGTCCAAGCTACTCTGTTGTTCGCGTAGGTCTATCGGATATTCAGATATTAAATCCGATCGAACGTCTGTATTTTCTAATATCGAGCGTACTTTAGTTAATCGAATATTACAGAACCATGTGGCACAGCAAGAAGGCAAAAGGCGGGAAACACGGAGGCAAGATGCTCGCTTGCTTCGGTGGCACCATCCCCGTAGAGGCCTCCAGCTCTTTCGCAGACGGTCGCCAGAAATCGCTCAAGTCCCACGAAGGCCTGCGAATGGCCGCGGCGACCCTTGAAGGCAGCGACTATGACGGCGACCATCTCACGACCGCCAAGCGGGTGAGGCATTGATTGAGAATAATATTTTTCCTAGCGCAGTCAATTATCGCAAATGAGCAATCTCACAACTCGGACAGAATGATGTGTTTTTCCTTACTCCGGGATCAATATGATGTGTTTTTTTCCTGTATTTTTCTTCCAAAAACTTCTTGCGTAGTGGATCCAACTTATTGTCGATTTTAGAAACCTGAGCGAGGAGTCTCGTTTCCCAATCCTCTCTCACACACGTCCCGTCCATTCTGCACGTCGATTATCCTCCTTGAGCCGACTGGAAAATCAGATCTTTGCTGTCTTCTTTCTCTCTCGCGTCTCTTCCATGCAGGATCATTCCCCTTTCTCCCAGGACAAGAGAAATGTTGTTCTTTCGACCGGTGGGACCCGTATCTTCCCAACCAACGAATCCCCGAATCCACGTCAGCAGTTTTCCTCCACCAACGGACCCTCGTGGCCGGATAAGTCTTTGTCGCAGCCGAACCCTAACACGGAGGCCGCCGCCGCAGCCGCTACAGCCAAAGCCGCAGCGGAAGGGATTCTTCCTCCTCTCGGTGCTACTGAAGCTAAGTATATACGGCATAGTCACCCGCTGAACCATCCCCCGCATCTTCACCACCCTAAAGCCGTCACGCCGGATGCTGACGTGGCTGCCGCGACCGCCATCGCCGCTGCAGCCATAGTTGGGCCTGCTGTTCCTGTCGCGTCGCGTCCCGTGAAGCCGCTTAGTCATCATACCAATGGCGGAACGGGTAGATCTGGTGGGAGAGAAGGGGAGAAGGGACACGTCGCGCGATTCAAGGAAGAGATTGAGGATGAGGAGGACACGTCATGCAGCAGCGAGTCCGCGAGAGCCGCCGGATCTTCCGTGGGCTCCTGCGAGAGCACGTGCGTGCGAGTGCCACGTGGCGGGATGGGGTTTGGCGCGGGAATCGCGGAGAGCAGCGAGGAGCTGGACGAGTTAAGACTGGAAGTCGCGGAGTTGAGGCGACGAGTGGCGAGGCACGAGGAGGAGGCGAAGAAGCTGCGAGATGAGGTAAAGTGGGGTTACCAGAAACGCTCTTCGCAGATGTAAAACAAGGTTTATACCAAGTTGTGCCAACCTCTTTGTTTATACCCGCCCCTCTGCCAGTTGCTACCACCCACAGTCACTCATTCCCCCTCCTCTATGCCTTTCCCCCCTTCCCCTTCCCCTTCTCCCTCCGTTCCCCCACTTTCCTTTGCCTCCAGGTGCTCTATCTTCGAGCTTGCGGCTACGAGATGCACTTAGCTAAGAGCCAGCAGCAGCAGGGGCGCGTTCTCACACCAGCGACCAGCGCCTCACGCTTACCGTTCCAGGACGTGGGGAACCTCCCGGCAGCCGTGCCCGGGACCATCTTAAACACGTTCGGTAATCCCGAAAACGCGATGTCGAGCTTAGAGATGATGATGGGGATGCGTGTAGCGGGGATGGCGGAGAGCGCCGAGCTCAGGGGAGTTGGAATCGCAGGGGCAGGAGGAGCAGGAGTGGTGGGTGAGGGGCCGGCGGTAGATCTAGCAGGAGCAGGAGTGGAAGCAGGGAAGGCAGGTCGAGGTGGGGAGCAGCACGCGCAGGGACAGAAGGAGAATTGGGAGAACAGAGAGAATAGACAGTCTGGGAATGGAATGGCCAGCGCTCCACTTGCATCCCCTCCTCCGATGCCAATGCCGCCGAGGGGAGGCAGTGGAAGGGAGAACGGTTCGAATGGGTTGAGCGGTTTGAACGGTTTCCAGGAACGAGCCAGTCCGCGAGGAACGGGTGGGGTGCAGGAGAGAGGGCGCGTGCAAGATAGGGGGAGTGCAGGCCTTCGGGATGCGAGGGGTAATGCGAGTGGTGGTGACGGGTTGTCCGTCCTGCCCCCCCTTTGGGCATCTGATTCCCCTTCCAAAGAGAACAGTCACAGGGAGGGCGGTGGGGGACGTGGTGCTGCTGGCGAAGCTGATGTGGCAGTGGCGCCAGAAGTTCTTGCCTCTCCTCGTCCCGCTGTCACGTCAGCGTGCCCTGTCCTGCCAGCTCGGCCTGCCACGCCAGCAGCCGTCGCGAGGCCGCCGGTGTACAGCGGGCGAGCGAGTCTGGAGAAGATGAGGCCGCCGCCTATAAAGGGGATGCCGCTGCCGTGGGAGTCGGTTGATGACGTGGCGAATCTGCAGGCTGGGATTGGCTGTAAGGTTGATGGAAGAGGAGGTGGTGGTGTTGTTGCTGCTGCTGCCGCTGCTGCTGGGAAGGAGGGAAGGGTGTATACCGGAGGAGAGAGGATTGGAGAGCAGGCAGAGGAGGGTAAGCAGGTGGGACAAGAGGAGGAGGGAGAGCAGGGTGAAGGCAGGAGTGTGGAGGCTGGGACGACTGTGGTGGGAGGTGTGGGGCTGGTAAGATCAGGTTCGGGAGGCAGTGCGGTGAAGAGCGGTGGGAGGAGGAGCGGGCCTGCTTTGGTGTGGCGAGTGGTGAACGGAGAGGGAGTGTGGACGCTGGCTGGGATGGAAGGGTCACAGGAACAGGAAAGCCAGAGTGCTGTGGGGCTAGGTTCTGCCAATGCCCCTTGTGCTGCTGTGACTGATGCTGCTGCTGGTGCTGTCAATGCTGCTGGTAATGCCACTCTTCATGCTGCCGCTGCTGCTGCTGCTCGTGTTGGTGGTGGCGCTGCTGCTGCTGTTGTCGGTATATCAGCAGTAGCAGCAGCAGGGGAGGAATCAGGAGCAAAGACAGCAGCAGTTGCAGTAACCGAAAGGGTGACACATGGAACATCGGGAGACGGCTCGGCAGTAAAAGCATGGCTGGATCGAACAGCAGGGAACCTGATACAGTCACCTTCGATAGACGAACCGGCATGGGCGGTGGGCGTGTGGGACGAGGCAGGAGTGAGCGCGGAGCAGCGGCCACTGCAAGGGTATTCGCATTTCGGGACATGTGAGAATGATCTGCAGCTGCATCCCACAAACCCCTTCCTCTCCGCGCCTGCTGCTGATGGCTTGCTCTTGGAAGAACATGGCGCTCCCATTGCAGCATCCGCGTTACAGATGGGCCCGTTAGAGGTGGCAGTGGCGAATGGAGCAGTGTCGGCAACAGCAGCATGGTATATGGTAGCGGACCGACAGAAGCACGAGCAGCAGCAGCAACAGCAGCAGCAACAGCAGCAGCAACAGCAACAGCAGCAGCAGCAGCCGCAGCAGCGAGGAGCAGCGGCAGTGCTGCAGGCTCATGAGGGGGAGGAAGTTGAAGTAATGGCGAAGAGCATAGGGGGACTGCCGCTGCCCCAGGCGACAGGAAAGAGCATAGGCAAGGGCGCTGCTCCTCGCGCTGCTGCTAACGCCACACTCCCCGCCACAACCCCCCCTGCCACACCTCCCCCTATTATGCCCCATTTCTCACCCCCCGCTGCTGCGCCAACCGCTGCTGCCGCCACCAGTCCACTTGCTGACACTATTACCGCATCCTCCAGTACTCCCGGACTAGCCAATCCCGCTTCGCCAGCTGGACTGCCTGCTGGGCTGCCAGCAGGGCCAGAGGCGAAGCCAGCGCTGTGGGCGGCAGCAGTGGCAGCAGCGACAATGATGACCCCCACTGCCGCCCGAATCTCGGATCTCCTCTTTGGCTCCTCCCCCTCTCCCTCTGGCCCCACACCTCTCTCTGGCCCCACCCCTCACTCTGCCCCCTCTGCTCCCTCGCCGCCGTCTGATAGTTTCTCTCTAGGTGTGAGCCAGGGCGTGAGGGGAGGGGCAGGGGGAGCAGGAGCAGAAGGGGAGAGCGTGGGGGCGAGGAGGAGGGGAGTGGGGGAGTCGGATAGCTCGCTCACGCTGGTGCGAGGGGCGTCGTGCCGAAGCTCTGTTGACACGCCCGGGTTTGCAGGGAATGGCCGCGCTGCTAGTCGTTCCTCCCTGCCTGCTGTGGGGGTTGAAGGGCGAGGGGAGTGGGAGGGGGAGAGTGAGGGGGAAGAGAGTGAGGAAGAGAGTGAGGAGGGGGAGAGTGAGGAGGAAAGCGAGGGTGAAGAGAGTGAGGAGAGTGCGAGCGATTACAGTGAGAGTGGTAGTGGTAGTGACGAGGAGGAAGAGGAAGAGGAAGAGGGGGAAGAGGCGGAGAGGGGTGAGGGTGGGAAGGTGGGTGGGGGGGAGAAGAGTGCCACAGAAGACGACAGAAGCTGTACCAGCTTCCTCTCCTCAGGTGGAGCCACTGCTGCAGCGTCAGCCCTCTCAGGTGAAATATCAGGTTTCTCAGGTGAACTCAACGTGTATGCAGCAGACGCAGCAGTGATGAGGCAGGGGTTGCGTGCGACAACGAGTGAGACATTTCAAGGGTATGCCGCAGCAGGCTGGCAGGGGGCGCATGAGCACAATGCTGGAGGCAGGGCAGGGACCCATGGCTTGAATCGCGCTGCTGCTGCTGCTGCTGCTGCTGCCGCCGCTGCATACGCGAACGCCACGGGGTTTACTGCTACAACAGGTACAGCTGCTACAGCTGCTGCAGTTGCTACAGCTGCTACAGCCGCTACAGCTGGAGCAGCTGTGACTGGGTCATCAGACGGCAGTAAGATCTCCCTCTCTCTGGGCTCCCTCACCTCCCTCTCCTCCCCCTTCACCTCCCAGTCCCTCACCGCCTCCCCTGCCGCTACTGGTGCTGGTGCCGCCACTGCTGCCACAGCCCCGGCTACTGCTGCTGCTTTCCCTGCGGCTACTGGCACGTTTGCTGGTAAGAACGCCGCTGTTGCTGGTGCTGGTGCCACAGCGGTTGCTGCTGCTGCTGCTGCTGCTGCTCCTGCGCGTGGTTGTGTAAGGGAGGAGAGAGGTGGAGGTCGGTTTGAGGAAGAGAAGATACTGGAAGGGCATGGGGAGGACAGATTCACGTCTGACTGGAGTGAGCAGGAGGAGGGCGATGAGGAAGAGGACGATGAGGAAGAGGACGATGAGGAAGAGGACGATGAGGAAGAGGAGGAGGAAGAGGAGGGAGAGAGGGAGGTGGTGGTGGATACAGAGAAGGAACTGGTGAGCGAAGGGGAGGCTGGGGTGGGTGTTTATGCGTCATCAGTGGTGTCGAGCTCCTGTGCAGACTCGGAGGAAGGAACAGAAGTGGTTATGGAGGATGAGGGTGCGGAGGGGAGGGAGAAAGAGCAGAGGGCGAGGAAGGAGGAGCAGGTTAGGCAGCAGCAGCAGCAACAGCTGATGAGGGAGCAGCGGCAGAGGGAACAGCAGGAGAAGCAGCAGCAGAGGGAGCAGCAGCAGCAGCAGCAGCAGGTGAAGCGGGAGCAGCAGAAACAGCAGCAGAAACAGCAGCAGCAGGAGCAGGAGAAAGAGGCACGGAGGGAGGAGGAGCGGGAAGCAGGCGAGCGCAGCAGTGGGAGGAGGCAGAGGAAGAGGTGGGGGGAACCGGGGGGGGACAGTGTGCTAGCAAAAGCCATAGAGCAGGCCCTGCCTGGCAGCAGACGCCGCTCCACTTCCCCCCTCAAGGTCCCCTCCCCTCTTGATGAGCCCACCACCCCTCGCAGTTCTACCTCCCCTCTTCATGAGCCTACAACCCCTCGGAGGTCTACCTCCCCCAAATCTACCTCCCCCAGATCTACCTCCCCCTTCGACCAGTTGTACCCGCCCACAGCCACACTCCGCTCGCCCAAATCCGCGCTGCGCTCGCCTGCGGGCAAGTCCGCTCAGGTCAACGCTGCATTGACCAAGTCAACGCTGCCAAAGAGCAGGTCCACCTCCCCTAAACGCACCTCCCCCACTCGCACCTCCCCAACACGCACATCAACTAGAAACACCTCCCCTACACGCACCTCCCCCACACACCCCTCAACTGGGAGCACCTCCCCCGTCTCCCCTGCTCGCACCTCCAACCGCTCGCTGAGGCGCACCGTCTCCCCTATAAGCATGCTCGCTTCTCCGTTGAAGCGGCTCCTTGTGCCTGATGGCAAGCGGAGCAGGTCCCCCTCCCCCACTGGCCGCTTGCCTTCTCCTGCCGCCCCTCTCTCTCCTTCTGCTGCTCCGCGCTCTCCTTTCACTCCCCACTATCCTGCTGCTCCGCGCTCCGGTGGAGCTCATCTCTCTTCTGCAATTGCGTCTGCTCGCTCACCCTCGCCTGTCACTCGGTCGACCACTCCTGGTGCAAGGCAGCGGGGACAGGCGCAGGAGGGGAGATTGAAAAGGGGGAGCGAGGGTGCTGGTCAGGGCGATGGGGGGAAGGATAATGGTGTGGGGAATGGTAATGGCGCAGGGACAGACAATGGTGGTGGGAATGGGAATGATAAAGGGAATAGAAATGGTGGTGGGAACAGCAATTGGGGCAGTGCGATGAGTTGGGAGACAGAGGAGAAATTGGTGGTTGTGGAAGGGAGACGGTTGGAAGCAGGAAGGGTTCAGGAAAGGGGGGAGGCCGTGGAGGCATCAGCGTGCGATGTGGGTGGGAAGCTTGAGAGGAGGAGCAGCAGCAAAGGGGAGCGGAGCGGCAGCAAAGGGGAGTGGAGCAGCAGCAGGGGGGGAGGAGGGAGGAGGGGCAGCAAGAGCAGGGAGAGGGGGAGGAAGGGGACGTGGACGAGCGGGGAGTGGGAGGTGTTTCAAGGGCCAGGGAGCGACGAGGACGAGGAGGAAGGGGAGGTAGAAAAGGAGGGAGATTCGGGACGTCAGATTAGAGGGAGATCACCTGTACCGAGACGAACGGCGTCCATGACGTCAGCTGGGAGCAGTGTGACGTCAGCAACGTCCAGAGGTAGTGGGTTCAGGCGTAGAAGTGGAGGGGGCGGTAGTAGCAGAAGCAGGAGTGGCAGCCGGAGCAGGAGGGGGAGCAGGGGTCATGATGGGTCCAAGAGTGAGAAGCAGGTTGGGAAGGTTAAGAGAGAAGAGGAGAGAGGGGTGGAGAGGGAGGGGGAAAGAGAGGGGAAGAGAGAGAGCAGGGTCGTAGCAACGGAAAGCGAGTGGGGGTTGAAGCCCAGGAGGCGACTCAACAACAGCCGGAGCAGCAGAGACAACAAGAGGAGCAGCAGCAGAGGAGTGGAGAAGGAGGGAGCGGGTGAGGAAGAGCAATCACCCGATGGTCACAGGAAGCAGGCCAAGGGAGGACGTGGGAGGGCGAGGAGGGGGGAGGGCAAGGGGGGTGGGTGCAGCCCAGGCAGCACGCAGCAGGGCGAGCGGAGGAAGGGCAGGAAGGCCCGAGGCTCCCCAGTGGAGGACGAACACTCTCCCAGGTCAAACCGGTCAAACCAGTCAATGCAGTCAACGGAGGTGGTCAAGCAGATGATGCGGCAGCCAGTCTTTGAGTCCCTCTCTCCAGGTGCTGACGTGGTTGAAGGTGATTTGCTGGGGCTTGAGGCTAGGACCCCGAGCCTGGAGGCCAGGAGCCCGAGCCTACCCCGGAGATCGCCAAGCCTGAAGAAGGAGAAGAGGGGCGGGCGGCGGGCAGGTGGGGCTGAGGCGGACGCAGCAGGGAGGGCAGGAGAGAGAGAGGCGCAAGGTGGGGCCGGGGGTGGGGTTGGGGAAGTGGAGGGGGTTAGGGTTCAGTCGATTCTCTGCAAGAGCAAGTCGCCTAGGGAAGCTTCTGAGACGCCGCAGGTCACTGGTGGTGGGCATGGTGGTGGTGGTGGTGCAAAGGCTGCGGGTGAGGTTGTGCACAAGGCGGCTAGAGAAGGCACATGTGGTGCTGTTACGGAGAGGGCAGAGGGCTCCCCTTGGAATGCTGATCAGGGTGCTGAGGAGGATTTTATTCGGAAAGAGGATGCAGCGAGGAAATGGGAGAAGGCTGTGGGGTTGGGCAGGAGGGAGGGAGGGGCGGAGGGGGAGGGTGAGGGGAAGAGGGAAAGGGCGTGGAGAAAGGGCAGTCCGTTTGGGAAGAGGCGAACAGTGGGAGCGGTGCAAGCTTCGGAGCGGCAGGAAGATAATCGTGGGGTGGTTGGAGAGCGAGGGGTGGAGGAACAAGAGACTTGTAAGGGGGAAGGGCACAGGAGCCGAAATCCGTTCTTCAGTGGGGATGAAAGTATGAGCCCTGATGAGGGGGATGCAGGTGCAGCTGATTTGGATATGAAGGGACCTGAGAGGCTAGAGACTGTCACATCATTTTCAAAGCGAGGGGATGTTAGGGCCGCTGGTGTCGTGCTAGGGGGCAGTTGGAGGCGCTAAAATATGGGAAGGCATGGGAAAACTAGGATATTGATATATGTATGGTTATCATTATTCATTATCAGCCTTTGTATAGTTTACAATTATTATACCACGAAGCTACCAGTGCACTTGAACGAATGAGATAGGATTGCAGTATCAGAGCAAAATTTGCAAGAGAAGTCTTAGGCCAGGGGTGTCAAAAGGTGCAGGAAGAGGAAAATATTGGGTAACAAGCTGAGTTTTCTATATGGGACACAAGCATACAAAGCTCGAATACGAGATCCCTACAAGGGAAATCGTGGTGTATTATTACGGCACATGCGGTGCACTTCGTTCTGGCGGGGACGTGTGTGTTCTTCTGGGGAAGGTCGTTGTTGACCGGTGACGCAAGGGTCGCAAGACGACGTTGTATTATTGGTTGTGATCCGTTGGCCTCTTTTGAAAGTCTGACTCCGTCAACGTTAGCCCTGCGCCTCCAGAACACCAACTTCCCCCTCCTGGGACCATAACCTGGGCGACCACCTGAGCGACTTTTTTCACGGACGTGTCTATCGCAGATAGGCAGACGAGGTGGAGCAAGTTAGGCGTTTCTGAGCACAGCCCGACCAACCAGACCGAAAACACCTGACCGGCTGTTCCCCCGCCCCCCCACCTGTCGCCCTAGCACACGGAAGTGCAACCAACCAACGACCTCTCTGCCAGCACATCCTTGTCTTCTCCAATTTCCATTCGCTCACGACTATTGTTCACGAATCGTGCGTGCAGGGTTCCCACCAATGGAACTAGTCGTACGAGGCTGGTTTGCTCAAGCAAGTCGGTGCCACGAACCTTTGCGACAGAGGCCCCCGAGCCGACCGAAACCAAATCCGTCTCCAGGCCCTGACGTTCGGACGTCGCCCTCAAGTCGCACGCATTTCATTTGCGTATGCGTCTCCTCTCCTCACGAAATCTGTGTCGATTTGTCGCCCTCGTGATCTTCGTCGCATCTTGTACAAATGTTATCGATTAGAGTCCCCGTAAAAAGCACGCGCGCTGCGGGCCTTTGTGGAAAACTCACAAACCCCGGGCAGAAGGGAACTTTTAGTCCCATATAAGAGTAATTGCATAAAAAGTGAGTTTGCTTCGCTACTCGTCGTGTTTTCCTGACACATACATACATTCGGACTACGCTATCTTCAACTTCTCGTCGCACGATTCGCCGCATTGATCAGTGTCGCAGGACAAACGGGCAGAAAAACAAATTATGTTTAAGGCCGAAACGAAAGACAACGTTTTCTGTTTTACACTGTAAGCGATATTACTGAGATGGTATCGTCGGAGCTCGCGGGGAACACCGCGACAGGATTTAGACACAAGCGCGATCAAGAGAAACAGAAAATCATAGTCGCAAAAGCAAATAGTAAATCAGAACTTCTTTTCGTTCTATTTCCTGTAACTGTTCTGACTGGTTCGATTTGCGTCCTCTGATTGGCTGCGGAACTGATTCGTGCAATGATTCAGTCAAGATGCAAGATTTCCCGCCAAGAAGGGGACTGTAGTGGGTGGGATACACCTACGACTTATGTGAAAATTCTACTCGTTGGGGAAACGGGCCTCTTTTAGGAAGAGCCTCTAAGCCAGAACATCTGAGAAAACCACCCATCTGATTTTGTTCCCTTGCGCTGAACTCATCTGAGAAAACCTTGGTTTGGGACACACCAGTGGTAGCATTGCAAAGAACCTGCTATTCGGTCAACGCACCGCATCTCGCGGAAGGGCAGCATAGTTTGAATTCAAGCAAACTTCCGAGTCGCTTTCTGGTCTATCCCTCTCCTGCAAAAGGTTCCTTAGCCCGGGATAGTATCCATTCCTATCCTCCTTCCGAGCGCGCTTCCGGATTGCTGCAAGCGTCGCGATGGCGACGACGTCGTCGTCCCGTTCGCCGCTGCTCGCGTTTCTCGTCGTCGCTGTACTCGTTTCCGCATCCGCGTCTAGCGCGTACGCGCAGTACTCGGGGAAGTTCGCCGTACGCGCTATAGAGAACGCGCTGAGGAAGAAGCGGCTGACGACGGCCATCACGTACTTAAGAAAAAGCGGTAAGCGTGCAGACCACGCGTCGTACTCCTTGGAAATGGTTCACGTTGAGACGACCCCGTAAAAAATCTTCAAGCGACTCTCGTATGCCTTAGATAGCTTCCTTGAGGTGCCTCAGAATGGGAACTGCGAGTAGAGAGTCGACTTTTGTTAGAGGCGCCTCAAACGACTACCCCGTAGCGAATCTTCACGCGCCGCTCGTGCACCCTAGGTATTTCAAGCGTGCAAGTAACGTGCCGCTTTGAGCAACCCAACTGTCTGAGTGGCAAGAGCATGTGATACCGGTTGACGAGATGCTTATATTGATTGTAACTCGTTTGTCTTCATATCGAGTTAGATGTACGATGGTGGCTGCTGTATAAGCGTCCCATATGGTATAGCAGGCGGCTATAATCGGCAGATACCGGCGTAAGCATTTTGCTAACTGACACATCGGGGCGGGACAGGTTTCAAGTCCCAGTTGCGAAAAGGCGATGAGACGAGGGCTGTTCGGTAACCTCGCAAGGTCCCTTCCTGACAGACCTTTTCTCAGCAAAGTGGTGTGCAACTCGGCCTTTCATCTTAACCGTTCATCTTTAGATCATCCAACGGAAACCCTCTTGTTGTCGTGATGATCGAGTCTGTTTCCAGCGGCTTCCTTCTCAATGGCTACCCTGGTTTTCATGTTCCTTAATGGTGCACTTCCTGTTACACTGGTCCGGCACCACCCCCTGATTTTTGTTATTTTCTCCCTGGTGCGACTGGCAGGTTTCAACAATACTCTTGCGGAGAAGCTGCCCAAGAGCAAGTATACGTTTCTGGTGCCAATCAACAGCGGGTGGAACAAAATGAGCGCCTGGGCGCGCGGGCAGATCCGAAGCAACAACACGCGGCTCTGGCAAATATTCGCTTACCATTTTGTCGCGGAGCGGTACACCAAAGTGCAGCTTGCTTGGTATCCGCCTGGAACACAGGTCCGTGTTTTTCATGTCATGGTTATCCCTGTTGTTTCTTTTTTTCTTGCCGTGGCTGTTTCGGTTGGAGTAGTGCAGTGCAGCTCGCATGGTTATCCGCGTGGCATTAAGGTGTGTGCTCTCGGGGTATCGTTTCGGAGCACGATGGCAACACTAGTCACCTCCTGTATTCGTCCCAGTCACTAATTAGTCTGAAACTTCGTAGACTATCCTTCACAATGTGATCTGTACTGCAGCTTCCCTGCATGCACCGTCTCGTTTCTCGGTTCTGTATGCCACCGTACACTCGTTCCTGCTTGCACCTTTTTCATTCTTTCCCCCCCTCCCCCATCCTTTCCTCATTATGCAGTTGCCAACAGGGATGAAAAAACAGTTCATCCGCCGCCTGCCCACTAAGGACCCCCAGTATGCCAAGCCGGGCCAACATCGGGGAACATATGTCGAAATTGGGGAAATTTTCCAAGATGGCCGTGTGATTGTACATGGGGTCAACAATGTGCTTGTCCCTGATTTTAAGTGATGGTGACTGGTTAGGTATATTGTGCTGTAGAGGTTGGTGGGTCAGGCTAGAGTATTTGGTCTGCATAGACTCTGTACAGTAGGGATTCGTGCCATGTATTTGTACTTCTGTTGGATTATACTCAGCTAACACCAAGGGTATCGTACATAGGGGAACCTCTCACACATGCTGGATCAGAAGAGCTTGTGTGGAGTTGTAGAATGCCTCTCCCCCCCCCCCCCCCCCCCCCCGAAAATGCCGTACTGATATTGTCAAGTTATAGCAAGCTTTAGCAAGTCCAGTTGTAGAATAGTTGTAAGAGACTAATAGTAAGCCTTAATATGGTGAGAGCACATATCACTTCGGTGTACGATATGTCAGGGGAGGAAGCATGAAGCGGGTTGTCGACGGTCACGCTTGTAACGAACATTTGGTGCTCTTCTGCCACCGACATCTTCTGGTTCAGGTGGTTGCATCAGGAGTGCGTTTCGATTGCTCCATCGTTACTAGCCCTGTACAGTATGAGAAAATGGTCGTAGCCTACCAATGAAACTGCATCAATGGGACTACTGGTCAACTCTGTGCACACCTCCACCAACCAGCCCTCCACAACGGGCTGACGTTGCTGACACAGAGGTTGCGCGGCCCGTGAAACTGAACACTCATTCGTAACCGCGATTGCATTAGCTGACGTGGAACTGAACACCGTTTCCTTCCAGTTCCAAGAGCATTTCGCGGCTCGGGAGGAGCAGTCTGACATGGCGCGAAGTGCGCTTCAATTCCCTACATGCACCACCCTCAGAATGCATGGGTGAAGCAAGGATACGATATGGTCCTGCACTTTCACGTACGGTTTCAATCGGCGGATTGCTTGATCCGCCACCAACCCACATGTGAAGCATGTGTTCTTCTAAACCACCCCCAGTGCTGCTCCGCAGAAGCTCATCCCCCTGTTGTTCCCGAATCCCCATCATTGCACCGATCAACCAACCATCGGAAACACCATGCCTTCATCCGAAGGAAGTAGACGAAGCAGGAGATAAACCAGTGTAGGCCAGTAGTTCTCACAACTCCTGATGAACCAGGATCATCCTCAGTAATTATAGACTTGCAGACACGCGCGGAGTAGTTAATCGAGAAACACCCCCGAGCGTTTAACGAGCCCCCGGCTCCGTTTTCACTCGTCCTTAGAAACTAGAACTTCCATGCAAATAAACTATAACGCAGCACAGCTGATAACCAGGGTAGCTCACACGTCGCACTCGAACGGTAACGCTTCAGACTCCTTATCGTAACATCCGAGGCGCCTTGGAAACGTTTTTACCCGGCATCAATGGAGACGCAAAGGCTCAACGGTCCGGTGGTGCTCCTCGCGGTGTTGCTGCTCGGCGCCCTCGTCGCGACACGCGCTCAGTACTCTCCGGCGAACGCCCTGAAACAAATCGAGGCTGCTCTTAAGAGGAAGAAAATGACGACGACGATTACGTACATGAGGGAATGCGGTGAGTGTTGCACGTGGCGAATGCCAAGGTGCCTCATGATGCAGTGTGACGCAATCGTGTGCAACGTGTAGAGAATATCCTGAATGCTGGCATGACTTGTTGGGTTGTCCGCTCTTAGTGCGCGAGCCTCACCGGGGAGCGTGAGAGCTCTCACGCTGAACGAAGGGTTTCTAAAACTCGCCAGGTCGCAGCGTGATGTAACATATCGTCAGAATGTATAAGGCATTTCCAGCCAGCTTCTTTAAGCCGCCAGTTGTGATAATTCAGTATGTTCTTTTCGTTCCGTAGTACCTTTCATTCCCTTACTTCCACTTCAGCTACTTTCATGTCTATTTTACCGTCACACCTTAATCCTAGTTCTTGTGATGTTTACTGTGTTCGTGTTTCAGGATTCAACGACACTCTAGTAGAGAAGCTGCCTACATCGCACGCGACGCTGCTCCTGCCGATGAACACAGGGTGGAACAAGCTCAGCGCGTACACGCGCAACCTGATTCGCAAGGACCCCGCGAAGATGTGGCAGGTGTTCGCGTACCACATGCTGGCGGGCCGTTACATGTACAAGCAGCTCGTGAAAATTCCCTACAACACACTGGTGAGTGTTTATGGTAGACATGAATGCATTTTTGTCAAAACTCTAATCCGCCTCGACCTCCCCTTGGAACCATCTCATTTCTAGAAGATAGTACCGTATCTTCTCGTTTGGCCTGCGCGCTCTATCGGTCAATTCCCCCTGACCTCCAAACCCTCCCCTCCCTCTTCCCCCACACCTCCCCACTCTCCCCTCCACCTCCGTGCTTTTCCATCCGCCCTGTGGTGCAGATTGTGACTGGCCATGGGGACTTCAAGGTCAGGCGGTTCCCAACAAAGCTCGCTCAATTTGGAAAACCGGGCACGCATGGTGGCGCATATGTCAAGGTGAACAATGTGTATCAAGACCCCCACGTGGCAATCCATGGGGTCAACAACGTTATGATTCCCACATTCACTGAATAGCTCCATCTGCAATCTCGGTCACCAAACTGATAATGCATGTTTTGTATTGCTGTATAAATTATGTTATAGGTAGTTATCTCGTTTGCTGGTTTCCACCCAGTGTAATAAAGCCCACGCTATACCAGTGATTCCCCTAGGCCCCAGCTGGGGGTCTTCTGTTTTTATTTTTGTACAACTTTTGCGGAGCATGACGCACCAAACTTTTGCGGAAAGCTGAAGCTGGAGAGACGGTCACAAAAGGTCCTCCGGGAAGCCTTTTGTTCCATTGGCTGCATTCAGGTCAGCCTTTCGGTAGTTTAAAACTATGAACAGTAAAAAATAGCACACCAGTTAGGGCGTGTTCCTACGGCCTCTTATCAGGCGAACCTCTTGTCAGATTCGCGTCGCACCGCACTGAAACGCGCATAATAAAATTCGATCGCGTTGAATCGCATTGAACCGCACAAGTCTGACAAGAGGTCACCTGATAAGGGGCTGTAGGAACACGCCCTTAGTGCAAAAAAACCACACAACCATGGGAAAGCAGGCAGCCAAATTCTTCTGCCAAGAAGAAACCCCCCATACAGTAGGCCAGCACAGATATCCACACCCAGCACCACTCATGCTACAGATATCTACAGCCAGCACCACTCATGCTACAGATATCCACAGCCAGCACCACTCATGCTACAGATATCCACAGCCAGCACCACTCATGCTACAGATACCCACAGCCAGCACAACTCATGCTACAGATACACGCTGCCAGCACCACTCTACAACTGTTACCTACAGCCAGCACCACTCATGCTACATATACCCACAGCCAGCACCATTCGCGCTACAAACATCCACAGCTGGCACCACTCACACTACAGATATCCACAGCCAGCACCACTTACGCTACAGATATCCGCAGCCAGCACCACTCACGCTACAGATATCCACAGCCTTCAATACACGATATGCAAGCAAGCATGGCACTTATGAAATGCGGCACCAACATATAGAGCAGCAACTTATTAACCTCAACCTATGTAAGATGTAAAACTACCGGTAGTACACCAGTAAAAATAGTCTTAAAACACTTTACTTGAACTTGGGCGGCATGATAACGGTGTCTACACCGTGGACTATCACTTGCGCATCCATGTAGAGTGTCCAATCAACGATCGACCCGTTGCTGGTGGAGGTTCCGATCATGATTTTTTTGCCAGCGGATTTGAGCTTCGTTTGGAGGTAATTGTAGTCACCCGTACCGAACTGTAACACCATCACCAGAAGAAAGCGACACCGCAGACACATGAGTTACCTTTGGTCTGCCCCACCAGCAGCGTCTGAAATAATTTCAATAGTGACGAAAAATATCAATAGCGAAGCGGAAAGGGAAAAAGCAAATAGATAGCCTACCGTTTTGCCCACAGGGTAACCCTGCATGGCTTTCTTCGTGTGGAGGTCGCCGAGCATGTTGAACGCAGCGATCTGGAATCCCGTGCGCGCATTCTTTTTTATCGACGCCCAGTTGCTTAGCTTGCCGAACGCCTTGGTCTGCCCCACCAGCAGCGTCACCTTGTACTTGGGCAGAATTGAGACGAGCGTGTCGTTGAATTCTGCAGGCGGAAAATGAGGAAAGGGGAGGGGGATGGGGAGGAAGGCGTGAAGAGGAGAGAGGAGCGGGAGGAAGACAGAGGGTAGGGGAGAAGAGAGTGGAGGGGAGGGGAGAAGGGAGTGGAGGCGAGGGAAGAAGAGAGTGGAGGGAAGGGAGAGAGAAGGGGAGAGAGAGAGGAGGGTAGAGAGAGGAGGGGAGGGAAGAAGAGAGAAAGGGGTGAGGGAGAAATAGTGAGAGGAGCTCGTACGAAGAGAATATAAATAGGAAACGAATGCAGCGTCACGTGTTATAGGGGCAATGTTGTCATTGCGAAGGAATGAGTGACGACAGAGGCAGATTTTGTTTGTGGGCATGTTGTGACTTTCACAACTGACTTGCGTTCATCTACAAGTGACCGGTTCGGTACAACAGGAGAGTGCGAAAGGCGGTAATTAGACAAGTTACGGATAACGAAACGATAACGAAATGGCTACGAGGGAGCATGGATAAGACCCACATGATGCTACGTTTGCTTGGAAAACACGACAGAACACGACGCACCATGGCTCGTCACTCACAGAATCGATGCGTCGTTGCCTACTGTTGACTACTGCTTGCGAGCCGGAGGCAGTAACGTTATTAGTAGGCTGTGAAATTATCCACGCAAAAAGAGCCGCTTACGGATCCACCTAATATGAAAAACGGAAAGTTGCTGCGAGCTTTCTGCCGAACTTGACACATTACGTTTCCGGATCAGGGCTTTCGAGCGAGTAGTGAGTGGAACACATAAGTAAACTATTAAAAGCCGGCAGCTTAGAAGCAGCTCCACTCGAAACGACCTCTTGCCGAGCCGAGTGAAATACCGGCCTGTCGACCTGTCGACCTGTGCTGGTGTTGCTCTCGACCTGTCGTGACGCTCACCGCGTTTCTGCTTTTCAAAACGCCTTACAGGATACAAAGCGAGTGCAGGTCTTGCATTAGACTTGGCGTGTCACTTACTGCTTGTCTTCATGAGCGTGATGACGGACTGGTAGTTTTTATTCTTCAGCGCGGTTTCAATCGCTTTCAAGCCCGCCACCGCGTTGTACGCCGCCGCCGCCGTTGACGCTAGCGAGACTAGCGCGACGGTTAGCAGTAGAAGTCGAACAGATCGGATCGCCATCTTGAAGTATGAAGAAGGAAGCAAGGAAGACTTGTTGAGTTGAAGCGACAGCAGAAGGAAGGAAGGAATGATAAAAAAAATGGAATGAGATGAAGGAAACAATTCTAGCTGAGAGCGTAGTGGAGATACTTGGAGTGATGACACTGGAAAGTAAAGAAATAAGGTCCTGGTCAGGCCCTTTATTTTGCTAGGAGCGAGGAGCTCAGGCTGGGATCACGAAGCGACAGCAAAATCGCTTCGGTTTTATTCGGTTCGGCTGGTTCTGAGAAGGTTTTGTCTGGTACCTGATTTATTTTTTGTGCGGGTGAGTGATTCTTGTCACCAAACTGATCACGTTGTACCCACCGGGCAGTGAGGCAAGGCAAGGCACGTTTGGCAAGGGGAGATGCCGCTTGGCCGCTTCAGCAGCACCGACGTGGGAGGATGGAATGTCTGGCGATTCGCTGGAAGTGGTGGGGCTGTGGGAACAGGTGGGTCGGCCAGGTGACTCCTCTGTTAACCGTCCGTTTTTGCGATACATCTGGAGGAAGCAGCATCAACGGCACAGATCTGGTGGTCCGTCTCGTGCGGCTCGACAGGTGGGCACTTGCCCTGGCTGGTTGCACGCACCCATTCGCGGGTTATGGATTGTTACGCGCCGACAGGTACGGTGTTCCCCTCAGGGGAAAATGCGCGATGTCCGGGGCAGTCGGTTTGCCTGGGATCAAAACCTCAACAACCTCGAATCTTCTGGAAAAGTGCGGTCATGCGGAACCACGATACATTACATTAGTGGTGAGGAATTTTGCTAATTCCTTACTGGGCCACTCCATACGCTTACAATTCCAACTTTTCGGAGTTCAGGCTTGGTCCGCCGACCTCGCCTTCCGAACGTCATTCGCATCGCCTTCGGGTCTTCCAACCCCAAACCTGCACCCAACCTTCGCGCACCTCCGCGACCTCGGCCTAGCTAGCTTCGCTATATTATGCCTAGGCCTCGTTGTTTGCCGAGTAGTTCTAATCACTTCCGCGATATTGCATTCTGCACACCCTTCTTTCGTAAAACTCATAACACTTGCTATCAAAGCCACTTTCCTAGGTTACCCTCCACTTTCCGGGGTAGTTTAGTGCAGGGGTGCGATAGACTTGGTGGGCTGCAAAGCGGTCGGCTGAGAGATAGATACGATTATCTCGCTCCGACTAATAGCGTTTGCCTCTTCATCAAAGTCAGAAAAATCGCTGTTAACCCGCTGCCCGTTAGGAGAAGACTGGGAAACATGGAACAGGCTGAGTTCAACGAGTTCATGCAACAGTTTCGAGCGATGCAAGCCAACTTGCATACCATGTCTGCAGATATGGAGCGCCTGAATGTGGAAAACGCCAAGCTACGCCAGACGCGAGGTGAAGCGCGTCAGGAGTCGCCCGCCGTGGATGAAGCAGGTAGCAGCTTCACGCCTAACGACGATGTCCTTAGCGAGCTACAGGGCTCGCTGGACGCTGAAGATGAGTGGGCGGCACGCCAGCAACAAGCACAAGGGACGCAGGAGCAACAGCAACAGACGCAGCAACAGACACAAGCGGCGCTGAGGCAACAGTCGCAGACGACGCCACGACGGGCACCAGCGACAACTTCGGCGATGGCTTCAGTGACGCCCCCGATGCATGCATCAGCAACAGTATCAACAACTGTCAAGATAAAACCGACGAACCCACCCCCGTTCAACCCCAACGATAAAACCGTCACTGTGTCTGCATGGCTGTTCGGCGTGGAGGTGTTTTTTAATGCTGCGCAAATTGCTGATGATGTCACTCGCATTAGTTTTGCAGTGTCACTGTTACGAGGACTGGCGTTGGAATGGTGGAAGCGGACTCTTCAGACAGAGGGGGCTCCGGCAGGGCTGTCACGTGTGAACGACAGGACCTGGACATCTGTCACGCAACGAGCAACTTCAATCTTCGGAGTGGCCACGATACGCACATGGACGAAGTGGGGCGCCGCGCTGCGAGCCATATTCGAGCATGTATCCGCCTCGGATTCTGCTCGCACGAAGCTGCGTACCTGGATGCAGGTGGCGTCGGTCCAAGACTACACTGCAACGTTCTGCAATTTGGCTGACCAGGTGGACGACATGAGCGATGCGGAGCGGCTCGACCGATACGTCGCATGCCTCAAATATGAGGTACAGTACGAGGTGCGACGGGCGACGCCACCCGATTTCCTCGATGCCGTCCAGGTGGCCGAATCAACGGACGCACTGATGCGGTGGGCGAGAATGAGTTCCCGGGAGGGCA